CAGCCGGCTGCCAGCGTACCTCCTTGATGCGGCGACATGCGACCAGGTCGGCGGCCACGATCAGCACCTTGTCGGCCAAGAGCGGGTCGGCGTCGGCTGCCGCCGCGGTCACCTCGGCCCGGATCTCCGCCAGCACCTCGGAGAGTGCCGACCACTTGGGAGGCACCTCCATGTGCAGCACTGGGGAGGCGGGTAGGACCGTGAGCACACGCGGCCGGCGGCGGCAAACCGCCGCCTACGCGACCGTGCAGGGCCGGGGTCTGTGACTAGGGGCGCACTCCCTACGCGTACCCTCGGCCGCCTGCCAGCCAGCGGGCTGCCCAGCGCGCCCACACATCCACGGCCAGTCAGCCCGACGCGGGTCGTCACGTTGTCCTGACCCAGGCCCGTTTGACCGCTCCAGGGCCACCGTCAGCCGCAGTCCAGCCCGGGCACAGTACAGACCGCCGGCTCGCCCACCACCACCCGGCCCGCCCGGTCAGGACCTCGCTCCGCCCGCCGGCGCTCTCGGCCCCGCGCGCGCGCCTCACCCTGCGGTCGGCCGCCGTCGGCGCGCGCGCGCTTGGGCGCCGGCTGCGCGTCGCCGAACACGCGCTGCTTGGCGTCCACGAACACGGTCTCGGCCGCGTCCAGGATGGCCCAGCCCGAGTTGAGCGCCCGCTCGGCCGTCTGCTGCGCCGCCACCAGCTGGTAGTAGCTGCAGCAGTCGAGCTGCGGCAGCGCCAGCAGCAGCGCGCGCAGCGTGCGCAGGTCGGCCACCAGCTGGCGGGTGCGCGCGCTCAGCTGGTTCCAGACGGGGTCCAGGCGCAGCCGCGAGATCTTGTGGAAGGCGCGCGAGATGACCGTCTCCACCGTCATCGTGTCCCAGTCCAGCTGCGCAGCAGACGCCACGGTCACTCGGCCACCCGCCGGTGCCTCGGGCTAGATCTAATATTAATTCTGTGTTCAGTGTCAAGATGTAACACAAATAGTACAAGGAAGTATATGGCCTAATATCAAATATTTACCAGACAAATTTGTACTAAGGGTGTTGAGGCAAGCGGTTTGTTTCTGCAAAGTTGCAGCATCACCACAATGTCACCTCTACTTAGATAAACACCGTAATTATACCATTCTGCGAACAGCTGTCGCAGTACGGTATAATACAGTAAGGCAACCGACAACCGTTACGGCAGACAGTTGTGTGTAGATGTACTGAGTTATCGCAGTAAGCCATGGAGCTGTCCGTTTCCAGGCATTTTGCGAGCTAACTGGGAAGGACACGCTCGGTTGGTAGAGCGCCGGACTCGCAATAAAGAAGACCCGGGTTCGATCCCAGCAATATCCAGGGGAAAATTGGGACTGTGACGCATACACTGGCGGCTGGTCTGAGCACACAGTCTGCAAAGACGTGCGCTTCGCCTCTGCCAGCCACAGCACCGACCGGCTGCCGGCCCGCCTGCGGAACCCACCGACGCGTTCAGTCGCTTGAACTCCTTCACAGTGATGTTGATGAGGTCAAGCAGCGCCGACTGGATGGACGTCATCAGCGGCGTCATCTTCACCCGGATCTCCACCACGTCCGGCTGCGGCGGCGTCCCACACTGGTCAGCAGCTGTGGCTTTGTATGTCGGGCAAGTCTATTCAGTCAGATCAGCCCTGGATGCCCGAGTTCAAATAATACGCGGTCAGGCTCTAGTCCCCGGTCCGCAAGGGGAGGCAAAGTGGCAAATGCTGAGCTCCGTGGCGTAAATAAATTTACGGAAGCGGGTACGACTTGCATCAAAAATAAAATAACCATCCATGAGCGATAAAAATACCATTCGAATTCCACATATTATCATAAAACCGGCATTCGCCAAACATTCCACATCCGCAGCCATTCTGGCACCATCAGGCCTTCACCAACACCAGGCGTCCGTATCAGTTGAGATCGAGGCCACCCGTGGCCGGGATTACGTCACAATATTTGCGACCGGCCCGAGATACTCTCGCCCAGCCTTTCACACCGCCCCAAATAGTCTTCATCATCATCCACGACAAGCACTAAAGCCACGTCACGACGGCAAGTTCGGAGCCCGACCCTGGTCGAGAGAGGTCGGTGCCCCGGGCAGACCTGTACATACCGTGCACTGCTTCAGCGCCTGGTTGACTTGCAGGTGGAAGCGCGGCCACAGGTACAGGTTGCGCACGAACAGGTTGCGCATGACCCGCTGGACCTGGCAGAAGCCGGATGTGAAGGACAGTGGCGAGCTAGAGAAGGCCTTGATGAAGCCAGTCTGAAAGGCGACGGAAGCATGAGCTTAGCCCAGCCGGGATGGGCGAGGCTTGGAAAGGGGCAAAGCGACCCTGGTGTGAAATTCAGCACCGTTTGGACAGAAGTCTTTTGGACAGAAAGCTCTTGTCGTCGGCTTAATCTCTGCAATGTCTGCTCGTTGCCCTCTTGCCAGCGGGACCGCCAGCGGGTCGGCCGCCAACGTGCGACGCCATGACGCCAATGTTTGAAATCGAAGCCGAGGGAGCACGTAACGTCAGATTCACAAAGGTCACAGCCCGTGATGGCGACCGGAGGGCGTCCTGAGAGCCCCGTGGTAGCCGGATTGAGGGCCGAGTTGCCACACATGACTCCCTCTCTCTCTCTGAGTGGTAACCGGATCGAGTGCAGAGTCGCCACAGATGACTCCCTCCCTCTTTCTGAGTTTTTTGCCACGCTAACTGCCGTCAGCCACCAGTGCAAGATCAGGTCAGTGGTACACCCAGCCTCTCACCAAGTGCTCGCCCGGTCCACAGACAACGGAGACAAAACATCGCTTGACCCCATACACGGACAGCCAGTTTGACATAACACACACAGTCAGGAGACATGTGGAGCACATCCGCCCGTGCGCCGGGCCAAACAACGCACCACACTCTCCAGACGCCTTCAGCAGCGCCACCCTCGTGACGACCGCATCACCTTGTTCTTCTGGCGGTAGAGTCGCAGTATGAAGGCCTCCTGGGCGGACTCGACAACGCCATGGGCGCGGTAGACGAGCACGCCGGTGACCAGGTCGGCGGGGCACCGCTCTGTCAGCAGGTCCACCACCAAGATCCGGGACGTGACGAACAGCACGCCGCCCTGCAGGTACACCTGCTGCCTGCCGGCCAGGCCAGAGCGACTGCTTTAGCGGGCGGCACGCGCCGAGGACGAACGGATGCGCGACACGGCAGCGGCTACCCGCCCAGAGGCGCACCACACAGCGGATGTCCGCGCCAGAGGCGGCACCACACGGCGGCGGCTTGGCACCCAGAGGCGGCACCACAAGGCGGATGTCCGCGCCCAGAGGCGGCACCACACGGCGGAGGTCACGCGCCCAGAGGCGGCGGCTTCGCGCCCAGAGGCGGCGGCTTCGCGCCCAGAGACGGCACCACACGGCGGAGGTCACGCGCCCAGAGGCGGCACCACGCGGCGGCGGCTTCGCGCCCAGAGGCGACACCACACGGCGGATGCCCGCACCCAGAGGCGGCACCACGCGGCGGCGGCTTCGCACCCAGAGGCGGCACCACATGGAGGAGGTCACGCGCCCAGAGGCGGCCCCACACGGCCGGGTGGGGCCGCACCAGGAAAACCATACTGGCTAACGTGGGGACGCCCTCAGCCACGTGCGTTCAGTGCGCCCGGCGTGCCACGGAGGCTCCTACATTGCTCTTCGAGACCTTCCCTGAACAGGATGCGAGAAATGTTTAACCGAGGTTCTTTGGCAGGAAAATACGACTGTAGTAATGAGCATACATAGCTGGCTTCGGCTTGATGTACGGCACTTGCCGATGTCTCTGCACCGGCAGATGCCGACCGTTGAATACCCCATGACCATCCCCTGGAATATCCCATATTGGTGTCAATGCGGCACCAACGTGGCTCCCTCTACAATCGTTAGATGTGGCATGCACGGAGTGGCATATCACGAGCGCCTTTCTCCGTGGCAGACTGGCACTACGTTCAACAACCTGGGTAATCTTTTCCTTTCCCGGTTGCGCATTTCACAGTAGCGCCCACACCCCTGAAACCATAAACCAAAGCCTTTCTGTCTGAATTCTCAAGGATACTAGACCGTGTAATGTGATGTGTGAAAGTACCACTGTGTTCTCTATACGCGTCGTAAAACTTCGTCATCCAGGCGGCACCACGATGAACTATGTGCGAAACGCTATCAGCGTACTCTGCGCTGGCAGCACCGCACCAAACCTCGCGTCGACAACGAGCCTCACTGCTGGCACTCTCAGATCCCACTAATGTGCGCTTCCCCTGTGTGCTTTGCCGCATGTGCTCCTCTCCGCCGTGTGGACGGTACCCCGCGCTGCACTAGCGTCACCACCACGCCTGTGCGTCCCACGCCGGCGGCACCGGCGTAATGTCCCGCACGTCCGCCGCCGTGACGGCCGCACCGCGCCGCACCGGCTGGCGGCTCTGTACCTGTCTGTGACGGACGTGTCCGCCGTGACGGCGCGCGGCAGCGGGCTGCAGCCGTCGGCCTCCAGCTGAGACGTCACGTGCTCCTCCTCGGCGCGGCTGGTGCCCAGCACCAGCACCAGCTGCGCCGGGTCGCACAGCACGCGCACCAGCGCCGCGAACAGCCGCTCCAGGCCGAGCCCTTTGGCCGTGACCAGCAAGCCGTCCTCGTGCAGGAGGTCCAGCAGCATCTGCGTCTCGTACTCGAGCATGGCGCCCTTGGTCACCGTCTCCAGGCGGCGCAGCAGAGCCGGCTTCACCTCCAGCTCCGGCCGCTGGATTGACGGCTCCGGTTGGGAGGCCTGGGAGGACGGCTTCTCCGTTCCCTCCTCCGCGGCGGGTGCCGCTTCGCTGGGAGGCGTTACGCTCTCGGACATCGTGTCTACGTTGTCACTTGGCTAGATTGTTAAAATATATTTCTTACAACATCGCCAGTGTGTTAGCACCACCAGTCAGCTTTAGCCAGGCTGTTGCGCGGTCACGTGATCCTAAGTAGCAAATCGCACCCTTTTGTTAGTACGAATAGTGATATCTATAACAGCAGCACTTCCAAAAACACCTCCACGAAAGTCCATATCAAATCCAGCAGACGAAACTCCTCGTGCGTCTGAAACACCGGAAAAATAGGTTACAACTCTATGGGCATGCACTGCCAACAACACAACGAAAATACGGGGCGAATACCAGATGCATGTTAGACCGTCTGTTACTTCACCGACATCCACATATCCCTGACCCCGTACACTCCATGACGGACCCTGTGCCAAAGAGGCCCGCGGCTGACCTCGGAGTGGCCAGCGCAGTCCCGCAGCGCCCCCCCTCCCCCCCACTTGACGGACCCTGTGCCATCGAGGCGCGCGGCTGACCTCAGAGTGGCCAGCGCGGTCCCGCAGCACCTCCCCCCCCCCTTGACGGACCCTGTGCCATCGAGGCGCGCGGCTGACCTCGGAGTGGTCAGCGCGGTTCCGCAGCACCCCCCCCCCCCTTGACGGACCCTGTGCCATCGAGGCGCGCGGCTGACCTCGGAGTGGCCAGTGCGATCCCGCAGTGCCGCCCCCTCCCTTTGACGGACCCTGTGCCATCGAGGCGCGCGGCTGACCTCGGAGTGGCCAGTGCGGTCCCGCAGCGCCCGCAGCAGCTCGTCCTCAGTGTCGTTGTGCTCGCGAAGCGTGAACTGGTCCAGGTAGTCCGGGTGCCTGAACACCAGGCGCAGCTCGTACGAGGAGAGCGTCGCCGACGGGTGACCGTACACCGAGACGCCCAGCGGACGGGGACACCTGGCGGCGGCGGCACACCGGCGTCAGGGCGCCGACCAATAGCCGAACACAGGCCAGCTCCGTCAGCACGGCGTCGGGCGTGATGTAGACCTGCTTGGCTGACTATCTTCGAGTGTAGCTCAAATGTCAGCATGTAAATATTGGTGAAATTGTCGATACTAAATGAGTTTCGACAATATAACCAACGTTTGGTCTATGACGTCATTTTGGCAATCGCTAGTACATTTAAGTGATATCTATAACAGCGGTGATATCAGCACAAGAGTTCCGAACTCATAATGGCCAAAACCAGCGCTGGAGACCTCTCTTGCTTGTATCAAGTGCAAGCATGCACTGCGGACAAGGAAACTACGGTCCCGTTTAGGCTGGTTTTGCCCCACATACGGCTGTGCATAGCGCGACTGATCTGCTGACCTGCTGAGAACCTCGATCGCCATACCGCCAGTTGTCACACGGCGCGCGGGCCCGCGTACTCACCCCCTGGGGATGTCCACCGAGTCGAGTCCGCAGGTGGCCGAGCTGAAGTCGAACTGGTCCGGCTCGAAGCTGGGCTTCAGGTGCGTCTCGGACACGTACAGGTCGGCGTCGCCACGCCTGTGGGCGAGCGTGCCGTCAGTCAGCACGGCTGCCGCTTGCTGGGGCGGCCCTCGTGCGGCGCACCGACCGCGCGGCAACATCGCTGCCTGCTGGCCACACACAGCTGGACACACCGGCCTGCTCTCAGCGGCGTCCACAACGCGTCGCGCGAACATTGTTGACCAACCGCTAGTCGACTGACAATCCGTGTGTAAAGTGTATGCCTTTCAGTTGGAAGGATAAGACATCGAGAAGCTTTCTGCTTCATGTGGCCATGTCCTCGTGCCTAAGCTGTGTCACGACAGCTTATTGATGAGGACCATCTCAGACATGCAACTTACAATAGCCGTGTCCTAGACCGCATTCCTCACGGCAGTAGCCACCAGAGCCCCGTCAAGTTGTAAAATGGGATCGTGCCCTTAAAACACCAGAGCTCGCTTCCATCCAGCACCAAATGCTACCTCTAATTTCTTCATATTAATAGGCCAACTGGCTGGCGGGGCTACTCACAGCGTCTCCAAAATGACAGTAACCGGCCCGTCCCACTGCAGCTTGTAGTAGGTGTAGTTGCCGGCCTCCACTTCACCCCGGATGCTCTGGATCAGGTAGTCACCCCACACGGCACACGCACACTGCAAACGGACCACCGGCAGCGCGTCAACCACCAGCGAAACGTGAACAACGTGGAACGTGCATCGCGCGATGTACGACGGCCGCATTACCAGGACACCCAGGCGGCTAGCGGTGAAATGTTGCGTCGCAGCGTTGCCGATGCCGCACGCGAGCCGGAGAGAGGCAGACGCTCTGGCAATCGGCGGATACCGCGCCGCCGCCGGCTCACCTGCAGAAGAAGGAGGACGCATAGCATCGTCTCTAGTGCTGCTGAGGGAACTGCCACAGCTCGGCTTTCAGCAGGCGCCCGAACACGGAGTTGTACGGGTGCACGGAGCGCGTGGGCTCGCCGGCGGCGTCCACTAGCGGCTTGCCCTCGTTGGCCCACTTGAAGATGGAGCCCTCGATGTTGACCGCCTCGAAGTTGGGCAGCTCGGGGCTGGCGGCGCGCAGACCGTTGAGCCGCGTGGCGACCGTGGCCGAGCGGTACCCTACGGAGCAGTAACAGGCGATGGTAGTTTTGTCGACGCCGGCCGGCAGCAGGGCGGCCACGGTGCGCCGCAGCGTCGGCTCGTCGCTGTCCGGGTCCACGTGCACGGCGTGCGGCAGCCGACTGATACCGAACTCGGCCGCGGCGCGCGTGTCCAGCAGCAGCAGGTCGGGCCGCGGCCGCGGGTACAGCCACGAGTACACTGTGTCGGTCGACACGTGCTGCACTGACGAGAACTTCTTGCGCACAGTGTACAGCAGAATGTTCATGGAGGCACTCATCTCCACGCCTGGGAGGTGGAGACAGCACCTGGTCAGCAACAAGATGTGAGCACCCAGAGGACCAAGACTACCCTGGGTAAGCATGGTCAGCATGACAACATGGAGAATATTTGGTATTATCTAATGGAAGTCTACTGAAAAGTGATGCCTTGTGGACTACTTCACCTGTCTATGACTTCTCTAAATCTGCTTGACCATACTGATTGCTCTATGGGTACCAAAGCAAGCTCGAGGGTATTTTGCAGTAAATGTATACACTCTGTCAGTACATCCCATTATATGTATATCTCAGTATGTCTTATGATAGCTTATGACATCATATTCTGATGATCATGGATTACCAAAGAATAGTTTTCAGTTTTGGGGAGTACTCTGTCCAAAACCATGTTCCATCATGTGGCTGATGGATGGATCCATCCAACATTTTTGTAAGTGTGAGGCAGGGGCAAGTGCCAATTTTCTCTCAAATCCTGCAAATTTTTACTAAGTTACTGAGGTGATGCCAAGTATCTAGAAAAAAAACTCCTGACTGGTGGGGTGGGTGGGGTGGGGGATTGGGGGGTAGGGAGCCCAATAGCCCTCACCTCTGCTACATCTATGAATCAACATCAAATCTTTGTTCATTTCAGAGCTCTATGGGTGTAGGCTACAACTTTATTCAAAAGGTACCAGTCAACTAGTTACCAGGTACAAATAAGACTTGATTAATTAAATGCATGCAGCAAGGTGAGCTTTTAGCTGACATGTGATATCCATGAATGTCATTGAAGTGACACATATACTCAAGATTTACTGTTACTAAAATCAACAATATCCAACCAGACTATACCTTTTCAACAGTCAACTTTTTTAGACCAGACAAGACCACTGTCTTAGAAATAACATAATTGTATCATCTTATCCCTTTCACCAAAACATTTATGTGTCTGACTATTTTGTATCCATTAGAAATACAATAGTTATATTGCTACATTAGGTTCAACTAATTGCTATGAGACTGAGTTGATCATTGATTGGCTGACAAGGTGATGATTAAGTTCATCTCCACTGCTTCAGGCATCCCCTAATGATACTATAAGTAGTTTGGGAGCACAGCATTGCATAGTCTATAGAGGATGATGGACATGAACAGCATTGGAAGTTTATCTACTTCACCACACAATTAACAGGGGAAACCTTCAACAACTGTACAACATCCATGTTGTGTATTCCAGACAACACACCACATGGACCAAACACGCAACTAAAATTGATCCACTGCACCTGACATCTAAAAATTGATGTGCTAAAGCTTGCACATATACCATATAGACATGCACACTTATTTGACAAAGTAGTGCTGAATCTCCAACCAAGTTCTCCCTGCAAAAATGTTTTGGGAGGATTTCTACTTGAATTTGCCATTAAAACATTTTAATTCCTTGACACATTGGCCCCCCATATGCTGATGTTTGAAGCGTCAGCGTACTAAATTATCGGCGCTCTCACACATAGTACACAAGCAATGCAATCACTGTGGTGATGCTGTTGCTACGTCGAACGGGCCCAGCTATATTGTTCGCAATCCGAAACGCAACCATGTCAGCCGACAGACCAGCCTTGTTAAATGGTAAAGGATATTCGTCACGTACCGTCACCGGTCACGTCCCGTACTGTGCGCAGGAAGGCGGACGGAGCTTGGCCGAAACGGGAGCCCGGGGCTGCGACAGTATCAAAGTCCGTGGTGGCTTCGCCGCCACTCGAAGGCACGAAGGCACGCCAGCAACCGTAATGTCTAGCAGTGCTACCACCTCGTGACAGACTCGCCCCAGGGCACAGACGGCATGCACACGTCGCGCGCATTTTTTTCTGCAAGTGCGCCACGGTGCATAATTTTCATAGATCATCGACTGGTTGTGCAACATTATCGCGACGAGATATTAAGGTTTTGGACAGCGTACCCTTGGCGGTTTCCATTTGGGGGAAGGGGGGCAGGGAAGGGGAAGTACAGGTGCGGCGCATCAGGAGGGAGTCAGAGGGGCAGACTGTTTTATCCGCCTCAAAGTTTTGTGAGGATCCTTTTCCTTGAATTGAATGATGGGTAACTTCACATAGCATATGAAACTCGGGCGAAGGGGACCCCCTATAACTGGTTCAAAATCAGGCTCAGAAAACCGTTAACATTCATGAAGACCCATATTCGGGATCAACGGCGCTCTTCTGTTTCAAAGAGACCCCTTGCTTGCTCGGGAGGCCTCGTATGAGCTAAGAGGCCCCTGACCGGAGTTAGCAGACACCTTTGACATCACAGGAGGCCCTACTCTAGACCAGGAGACCGCTCTCATGCCTAAGGAAGCCGCTGCTTCGTATCACGATGACCTGTCCCCGGACGATGCTTGCTTTCAGCTGCCGCCGAAGCCTCTATCGCCTTTGGAAGCCCTCTTTGTGAATCGGATTGATCCTGTTCTGGATACAGAGAACCCTCTGTGCATCACAAAACCTAGTGATGGAACAGGAGGTGCTGTCTTGGGGTAAGGAGGCCCTTTGCTGGATCGTGAATCCCCTGCTTAATCAGGAGGCCCCTGTTCGGGTTTGGCAATGGCCCACATATCTTCACATGGATACTGGTACAATAAATATAAATTGGATAGGGCGACGCGTGCTCCTTCCTCTAAAAACAATAAACAAGAGGCCCCCTTGTGAGGAGTCACCATTTTGTCCAGGAGAACCGGGAGTCTGCCCTCCCTCCCCCCAACTCAACTCCGTGGTGCCGCACCCGAGGTTACCTCCTTTTGTGCACGGAATCTACGGGCCTGTCATTTTCCAAATCACATCCAATTCCTGTCCAATTTGAGTCAACTGCCGCCATTGTTAAGCTAAGCTACTTCCACACACCTGAGCCTTCCAAGGCTATGCACTCGCTCGGGCGACCTAAAAATGTGTGGCGTAGGCACAGGGGTGTAGGTAGTATCCTATTCAGTTTTGGAGTGGGGAGGCTTCACAACTTGACTTCAGTCCACCTCCCCCAACTTTGGGGAAAAGTGACAGAGTCCGAAGAGAAACCAGTTTGATAGCATTTTTTGGAGTCAGGTTTTTATGTTCAGTTCCGCCCCCCTCTCATTTTGCAAAATGACACCTGATTGGGCATCTCAAGGTCCCTCAGGTGATTCATTCCATCACACAACACGCGATTGTCCGATACCCCCTCCGCCCCCGTCTCCGTCTCCGCCTCCGTCTCCGTCTCCGTCTCCGTCACCGTCACCGTCTCCTGTGCCTGAGTCTAGCCTGCTATCCAGGCGAAAGGCAACGAGTCCTACTTCCTGTCGGTTTACAGTTGGCGGGCGGTACTTTCGGCGGCGTTATGCAGCGCTGGGTGAGCATGTATTTGTTAATATCCAGCTGGATGCTTGTCATGATATTCATATACGCCAGGCAATTCGACACTCGGTTAAAGCTACAAATTGGGTGGCATATGACGATGTATTGGCCATTTAGTGTTGGACACCATTTGTTACAATGGAAAGCGAAATGACCGATGTGGTGACATGAGGTTCTATGCGAACTTCTTGAACTTGGTTTTGAACTCCTTCGCCTTTGCCATCTGCTCCTCCTTGCTGACAACGCACTCGCTCCACTCCACGCGTTCAGGCATGTTCAGAAGGGGCGGGCACGCCAGCATGGAACGCCCTATACTCAGAGGTAGCTTCTTGCCTACCCTGTGAAAGAGTTTGACGCCTCCGGGCAGCTCCACGTAAAGGTACGGCGCGCCGGGCTGAGCCAGCTGGCGGACGTCCGAGAGCGGCGGCACCTCGTCCAGACTGATGTCCTGGCTGTCACAGTGGTCCTGCACGGCCTCCTTCAACACGGGCACCAAGTCCTTGGGGACCGGCACACACTGCACCTGCAGGTGGGACTGGCGGTAGTTCCGCTCGAAAAACACCACCGCCTTGTTCTCAGCGGCGAACAGCTTGCCCAGCCGTTTCTTGTACTCGAGGATCTCGGCGAACACGGCGTCGTCGGCTTCGGTGGAAGCTCGCGTGTGCTCCACCGGTAGGATGAGCACGTGGCCGGGCACCAGGCCGCCCTTAGCCAGTGCCAGGTAACACGTTTCGCCGACGTTCACCACCAGGTGCTTCTCGACGTCTGGCGAGGCCAGGCAGAACCAGCAGGGCGCGGTCGGCCGGCCGTCGGGCGGCCCCTGGCGGCGCCGCTTGGCGGCCGGCTCCCCGGACTTCCTCTCCGTGCTGTAGAAGAACTGAACCGCCTCGCCGTCGCCGCCACACGCCGCCGTCGCCATCTCTTCGGCGGAGAACGGACACTCGGTCACGTCAGCCGGCTGCGCCACCAGCTCGGCGCGCGCCATCCGCACCATCGGCTCCAGCCCGAAGGCGTACAGCCACTTGTGCTTGTCGACGTTGAAGGCGGCCGCCAGGGAGATGAAGCGCGTCACGTGCACCTGCTGGTCGCGCAGCACCTGATGATTGCGATAGGGCAGCCGCTCGTAATGCAGCGCCTGGCCGCCGCTGAACACGTAGCGCGGCCGCGTGCTGTAGAGCAGCCGCGCCGCCAGCCGCGAGCCCGTCTCCTCCGAGTAGACGCCGGGGGGCGTGGCGGCGTAGCGCGTGACGCCGCGCGGCCAGGCTGTCGTCAGAAGCAGGTCCAGGCCGGCGGCGCCCGAAGCCGCCACCGCCTGCTCCAGAGCGCGCACGTCGGCCTGGCTCGGCTCGCCGCCGTCCGGGGGCGCCAGGTACGCCACGCTCGCGCCACCGGAGGACGTGAACACGCCACGCTCGCCCAACGCCACCACGTCCGTGCACAGCTCGTCGGCGTCTGGACAAGGGTGCACGTCCCGCGGCAGCCGGCTGGCAGCGCCTAGAACGTATGTTTGTATCGGCACCCGCCGTGTGCCCTCCCGGTACGCTGCCCACTCTGAGTTGTTCAGCACCAAAGAAGGAGCCACAGCACAGTAGAAATTCGAATGGACCATTTTTCTTGTTCACAGAAGACACGCGATTGAAAACTTGATTGAACTTTCCATCTATATTTCCACACACAAGGATTTTGACTGGTGCCATCGTTGCAGATATTCTTTAAAGGAGATGAAAACTAGTTTTAAAATACGTGCTAGGCCACCGTAAGCTTCCTGTGGTGTGGCCGCAGGCTTTTCACAGCCATTTCTGAAATGAAAATAGAACACATTAGACAAAAGATTGTACGGGCACGAAAATTAACACGGAACATGCAGATATTTGTGATTTGTGTGTAAAATTTGCATGAACCCTGGTGACCTATTTCCCAAGCAGGAGCAAGGCCGGGAGCCCCGATTTGCATTGGTCTGGGTCCTTGAAACAGTGGTTAGTGCCGATGTGTCGGTCAGGGGCCCACAGCGGATAACGGGGGTCATGTGTCGGCTAGTGGCCCCCAGTCGGTAACGGGCGGTCTGACTTCTTGGGGACCGTTTCCCAGGCAGGGACAAGGCCGCACCTGCAATCTGCATTAGTCAGAGCCCCTGCAAAGGTGCGGGACACCTGTATCGATTAGGAGCCCAGTGCCTAACAGGGTGTTTTGTGTCAACAAGGGGCCTCGAGTCGGCGAGGGGAACATTTGCTCAACATGGACGGGGACGGAGCCTCGAATGACAGAGGACCTTTTGCGTTGGTTAGGGCCCTCTGACAATGAGAGTAGATATTGTAACTTATGAATAGTGTTCACATTGAGACAATGGAGGGGTCCCGTGCCATTCAGAGCCCCCAGTGCCGAACGGTAGGCTTTCCAACCCAATTCCAGCATGGGCCCGTAAAGCCGAACTGGAGTCTATGCGCAAATTATTACACCAACTGTGGCGATCAGAGATGTCGCGTCAATGAGGGTTCCTGCTTCGGTCCGGGGCCAACTGTGCAGTTCAGAAGGCCTCCCATGTCAGGGAGGGGACAAGCGTGGTATGATGTCCCTCTACGGGCCTCAGGACGACCAAGGGACCCCGCCCCGTGTCGCCAGATGGACAGACGGATGCACCCGGCGTTGGAACGGAATGACTCCTCAAATCCTGACACGGAACGATATTGTGCCCCCTAGTGTTCTTCTCAAGAGGCATTTTACCGAAAAGAAATAAGGGGCCTGGCAAGTGTTTAATAGAGCGGGTCAAAATGAGTTCGTGTTTTGTGTTTGTGTGTTCAAAAATGTGTTTAAAACTTAACTTGTGCTGTTCAAAAATAAGACTAAGTGTATCTTTTTTAGAACTTCGAGGTTGTCCCCTGGACAGTTGAACAGTTACAGCAACACAAAAAAACAGGGATTCTACCTTTACCCTTCCATTTCCACCTAGATTCAAGCCAGCACCAATTCGCGGTGCTGTAAATGCCAACCTGCTCTTAACATCGATCTGAAACTGGCGTCGGGGAATTACACGCCCGCACTACCTTTTAAATGTATGATTTTATGCTCTAAAGCATTCAAAGGTAATTCTTTCAGATGCATCATCATTTTCATCCACTTGTTGGCCATAGCTTATTAAGCTTGTTAAGCTATGGCTAAAGCTTACATTAGGCTAAGCTTCATGTGAGCCATAAGGCCAACCCCACACAGCCTATGGAAACTGCAACACCTGACATCAAGGTTTTTATTAGAAGATTATGAGCCTGCATGTTCAAAATTATGTACAAAATTTGTGTCACCAATCAATTGTAACACTGAATGTTGAACATTTCCAGACAACATGGTTTGGCCATGTTGATACAAATTGTTAACCCATGCTACAATCTATGCAGGTTCCCTGTTATCTCCATAGAACCGAGATAAAAATTCTGATGAAGCTTCCAAGTTTTATTGATATGGAAAGAGTTCACTGGGCCATTGTAGAATATTGCACCAGCAATTTATTTTATGGGATCATTTAACACATGATTTTTGCAGTTAATTAACAAGAATCCAGTCTGAACCCATCTTGCAGTAGCTTTTGAGCTCTATTATATAAGAAAAATGGAAAAATATAAATTAAAAGCATGTCCTCATCAGTAAATGGGCCACACAAAATGAATTTGGAGAGGCCATTTCACTACTAGGGGGCCCTTTGTCAACCCTGTGCCCCCCCCCCCCCTTGCCATGGTTCTGGCTGTGGCACATGCTTCTAAGGTGCGGGACAATCGGGCCAGTAGCAGACATGAACAGTATCTGAAATTCAGCCTGGCTCTTGAGAAGAGAATACAAATTGTAAGACAACAGGTTGTGACAAAAACAAAAAGCCCAGGTGAATCTTTACTCTATACATAACTGGCACTGTAGGACATATTCAGCAGTAGTCCACAGTAAATGCCATACTTTACCTGGCATCACTGATTGCCAAAGACCATTAAAGATTGGCTACTTGCCATTCTGAACTTTTCTAGTACCCAAAGTACTCCCTCCCTAAGTGTATGCTCACACCTACTGCACATTTTAAGCTCTGGAGCAGATATAAAGCTACTCATATTGAGTTATGTCCAAGAGATGCAGGTCTCAATTAAGCAAGTTATTAAGTGCACAAACAGGCTGCAGAAGTGAATTCACTTCTTCTATTTGCTTCCATAATGCATGTCGCAGATATATCAACACATCTATAACTTTATTCTTTCTCCCTCTTTGAGGAAAAAGGCTATTACTATTATCTTATCTATGGGTCTCAATTAAGACTGCCATAAACCAATGTTCAAAATGCTGCAAAACTTTGCACAGTTCCCCAGAGCACATTATGATCAATCTAAGATTGACACATCAGGAAACCACTATGATATAAATACGAGCATCCGGTGACTGGCACATAGTCGATCAGCCTCCTTTACTTTGACATCTGCACCATCGGCGGAGGGAAGGACTACGCAGGATGCAAGGTGTGTGCAATGTGGTGATGAATAATGGCTTTGAGGCATCAGCTGACGATGTGACAGTCGCTGCAGATGGTTTTGTATTGATTCAACACCAAATATAATTTTAAGATTTACAGCGTTTTCTTTAGTACCCACCCACCGGTGGAACACAGTGACACGCGGGCATTACGGTGTTGAATGAAGGTGGTGGCACAAAACCTGAGCGTATGACATCAATAGTCATGATTTTATACAGATTCACTGGTGCTAAATGGAGGCCGTGATCATTACCTGACGATATGGCGTCACTGGCGATATACTGAACGTAAGGCGCAACAGGCCATTTTGCATCCCTGCATTTCACACCCGACTACTGCAAGCATTCGCGTGCTGAATGCGTCACTATCCCGGCACATTTCAAAATCCACAGCAGGCAAAAAGGTGCAGCAAAGCTAATAAAAAGAGGAGTTTTTTACCCGCACTTCCGGAGCCTACTGCTGTACCCACAGAATTGGTACACAAAACACATGCGCATGTCGAGCACGGAAGTGACATGGGTGGTACACCTGGGTGCTATAGACGTATAAGTAAATATACGCCGGGCATACGCCACCTCCAGGGGAGGGGGATGGCACCTAAACAAGGGCACGGTAGCCGCGGGAGGGGGCGGTGGGGCAGCTTACCTCCTCCTCCAACTTAAAAGCTTAGAATGCATGCAAAAACCTCATTCTAGCCTGATGAGGGATTATTCTGGGCTATCTGAGACCCTTCTGGCCAAACGAGACCAGTTCTTGACCTGTTAAATCCTATGCTGATCTGAAGATGGGCCATTATTGACTGCGGCGGGTACATTCTGACCTGCAAATGATCCAATCTGGCCTTTAGGGGGGGGGGGGGTTCTGGCCTTAGAGAGGGTTCATTCTCCCCTGTTGATGGCCCATTGTGACGTGCAGACCCATTTTGACTTGTGGAAGGTTCATTCTTTGCTGCCCAGAGTTTATCTCCATTCTAGTCTCTAGCGGGCCCATTCTGGCCTGTAGGGGTCCACTTTCTAATCATGGAGGGTCCATTTTGTCATTTTGGAGTTCCCCCCCCCCCCAATTTGAACAAAGTCCCCGCGCTCCAGCACCCAAACCCCTTGGTTACATCGCCGTCGGTTGCATGCGAATGTGATCACCGCGGCGATAGGTGGTGCACCATAGGGCTGGGCTGGGGTTGCGACTGCGTCTTCAGCTGGGCTTGGACCTGGTACTGCGGCTGGGCCTGGGCCTGATGCCGCAGTCAGGCCTAGGCCTGGGATCGCGGTCTCCAGCCTAGTCTCCCCAGATGGTCCTCCGCTACCAACGCCGCCGAAACTTGCCCCTTTCGCGATGTGTACTGCCGCCTTGTTAAATGTTTCCTGGATTTGGCAGGGGGTTACTGCACCCTGCCTTCTCTATATGCTGTCCTTGGCCATGCTATGCCAAGCCCCATCTCCAGCCCCAGCCCCAGCCCCAGCCTCAGCGCCATCAGTAGTCCCAGCCCCAATCCCAGGCCCAGTCCCAGGCCCAGGCCGAGGTCCAGGCCTAGCCGCAGTCCCAGTCCAGTCCAGGCCCAGGCCCATGCCTAGCCGCAGTCCCAGGCCAAGGCTAGCTGCAGTACCAGGCCCAGGCCCAGCCGTAGTCCCAGGCCCAGGCTCAACCGCAGTATCAGGCCCAAGCCCAGCTGCAGTACCAGGCCCAATCCCAGCTACAGTCCCAGTTCCAGGCCCAGGCCCAGCGGCGGTCCCAGGCCCAGACCTGTGGTGTTTATGGAGGTGGATCAGCTCACGTATGGCCTGCTTCGGTGCGGACCATAAAAGGCCTGTTACGGTAGGGAAGTTGTTTATTATTCCAAGGTCAACAGGGGTTCATTTTTATATGGTAGCCCGGGAGGGTATGACAATACAGGGGAATGTGAAAGATTTTCATTGCGACGATATATAGGCACTTCATCCCTCCTCTTCCTCAGATGGTTATTTACACATAGTACTTCATCCACGCGGGCTGGCGCCGCGCGCGGTAACGCATGGTCGGGAACACACTGGCGCCGGGGACGAGGTCGTGGCGTGGGAGGAGCAATAGCGGCGCGGAGAGTAAGGGTGTGGCGCCACATGGACTCAAGGATGTCATTCATCGCCTGTTCTTAGTCATCTTCTTCGGAGTGATCAGCGTCCTATCCATGGCGGTGCGTACACGCTTTGAATAGCGATGCGTTTCTCGTCACCTGGTGACATCCACGTGATGCGGTGACCATGGTGCCTTGGATTCCGGTCACTTCGTGCGGCGCTCGGCAGAACCGAGGTTTCAGCTTTCCCTTCTTGAATTCGGGGATCAGAACTTGGTCTCCGTTTGAAGATTCGTTGTCTTGGCTCCACGGTCAGCTTGCTCTTTCATCTTCTTTTTCGCGGCTGTGTCCGTTTCGCGGAGTTTTCCATCGTCCGGATGCGTGGTCATCGGAGACGGCAGCATGGTCTTCACTGTGCGACCGTGCAGTAGTTCAGCCGGGCTCTTCTGAGTAGTGGTGTGCGGTGTTGATCGGAAGTTTCGTAGAAACTTGTTTATTTCCTGTTTGACCAGGCGTTGCTCGACGACAGCAGCTTTCACAGCTTTTGATAGCACTCTCATGAAACGCTCTGCTTCTCCGTTAGCTCTTGGCCACAACGGGGTGATCTTGCGGTGCTTGAAGCCGATGTAGTTCGCGAACTGAGCGAACTCATGTCCATTGAGCGGAGGTCCTTTGTCTGTTCTCATAACATCGGGAATCCCTAACATCGAGAAGATGTTGTCCAGGATGGGGATGATGGTACGAGCAGAGATTGATTTAGTCGTACGGACAACCGGGAATCTCGAGTAGTCGTCGATTACAAGGAGATATTTGCCCGATGGGAAGGGTCCACAGAAGTCAGCAGACGGCTCCTCCCATGGTCCAATTGGGAGCGGCGACATCTGAAGACGTTTCTTCTGTCGAACTGGTTCGGTGACTTGGCATGCAGTGCGGGTCTTGATGGTGGCTTCCACTTGGTGGTCTTTGAGTTTGCCAATGCCTGCGGTGATGGGGTGGGTCTCCAGCAGGTCTTTGATCAGCGTTCTGCCTGGATGGTTGCTTGTCACCTCTTGAATGACTTCCAGCAGGTTGAGGTCCTTTGCCGTTTGGAAGCTGAGGAGCGATCCGTGTGCTCCTTCCGCGACGAAGAAGCTGACCGTGACGGCCGTGACCTGCACCCCACGCCTCAGGTGTTAAAAGCATGTCCGGAGCAGGAGCCCGTCGGGAAGCGGGGCATCCGGTGGAGGCGCGTCCCACGCCGCTCGCGTGGCCGCCGTACCGGGGTCGACTAACCGCCATCGGACGACCAAGACACACCCGTGCAGAGCCGAGCAGCAGACCAGAGCAGAGCCAGATGACACAACCATCCGTCGCGGGCAAGTTCGGAGCCCGAGTCGGAGCCCGAGCTCGAGCCCCAGCCCCGGCCGATCGGTAGGCAGCAAAACGCCACGACAGACAAAATCAAAGCCAGATGTCACCCCTTGGCGTACAAACGCTCGCTCTCCGGGCGTGAGGGCCAAAGGCGACTTCGGATGCAGGGCTTCCATGCCCATGGTGTTTGCCGATATTGGCAGCTTTGCGGATGAAGGAGGCGAGCGAGACTTTGGACCGTCAGGACAGAAGAGATTACGTTGAAAGGCTGAGCTCATTCAGGAGGGAGGGGACACCAGTCAGAGGAGCTCTCATATACAGGGACGGTGCCCAGAGGACTTTATGGAGGGTGTGACTCATAATCGTCGCAGGTTTCTCGTGAAGACGTTTGTGAAAAATGTCGTGCTTGGCGAAGGTGGCATAAAATCCAGGCCAGTAAATCGCTTCGTAGTTGGCATTGGGAAGGCATGCTGCCCTTATGGACAGGACGCTACCTGAGAGATACCAAGGATGAAGAGCCGCTCAGGGCCACAGGATAACAACGTATTAGCTGTGCGCTGTTCTCACGGTCCTTGCCAACTGAAACTGATATGAACAGTCCGGGTGGCTCCCATAAAGCAGGGACGGCGCCCGCTAGATTTTGTGGAAGGTGAGACTCGGCACAGTCGTCACATGTTTCTTGCAGACGTTTACAAAATATGTTGTGCTCGGTGAAGACGGCATAATATTTCACCCGGGAAATACCTGTGTGAAGGGCAGGCCTTCGTTAGGGGCAAGAGCGCTACCTGAGCGACACTAAAGATGAGAGACTCCTGTATTAGCCGAAACAACGATTAGTTATACGCTTTTACTCCTCACCCGAGGAATTAACATTGCAAAGGTGCGTTCAAGGTCCTGAAAACCCCACTTAGGCAGTATAGTAGGCAATAGTGCTCCACTCGGCCCTTTGTGCCACTGGAGGGGGCTAGGGGGCAAATTTATGGGGGCCAGAGTTGACTAGGAGCATGCCGAATGACTGCAGCGTATGGTGAGCATTAGGGGTTTCGATACCGACCCAGCAGTTAAGTACCTATGTGTCTCACGAGGCAGTGGCCAGCCTCACACTTGTACATGGAAGGAGCACGGGGTGCAGCACATTACCGATTGCAATTTTCTTGCAAGGCGGCCGGGTTATCTGAACATACGTGGACATTCCTAACATCAACTAAAAGGGTATGAACATAGCGAAACAAGATAGTGTCCTAAAACTATCTCCAATAGTTTTCCAAGGCACCAGAGCTGTTACAGGAGAATTCTGGAAAACGTTGCAAAAGATACAAAATGTTGCAAGTGCAGATTGATGCTAAATGTATGAAGATAGCGCTCTAAAACCACCTTGAGTGCTCTCGCTAGGCCTTAAAGATCCTGAATGCAAATTTTCCAAAGTGTTGCAAAAGGTTTCAGAATGCTGCAAGAGCAGTAGCCGGTTAAATGAACCAAGATAGCGCTATAAAACCACCTTCAGTGTTCTCGCAAGGCACGACAGCTCCTTAAGTAGCATTTTAGAAGTTGATGCAAAAAGCTGCAGATGGTTGCAAGAGTGATTTACGGCAAAGTAGAGCGCTTTAGAGCTCCATGACCACTTCAATTCTTCTCGCAAGGCCCAAAAGCCTCCTAAGCAGCCATAACAAAAATGTAGCAAAATTGCACAAAACATTGCAAAGCTGGCGCGCAAACCACTGCAATGCTACAAATGGCGTGATGGTAATGCTCCAGAATTGTCTAAACTTGATTGTCTCACTCTTCTTGTAACCGAAAAATACAGACAGGGGTGCATCCTGAGGGCGGGTGGGAGAGGGTGTGGGGCCGTAGCACCCATCCTTGTGCCACTCACGAGCCGACCCTTTGGGCCACACCGTAACTTCGTTTCGAAAGCATGCAGTCTTTATTTCCAAGAGCCACACAAATTCAAGGACACCGCAAAGGGTCCTAAATTATCATCTTCGGGAGGCCCCAATTTCCAGGGGCACTGCAATTTATGTGCCTTGCTCGTTTGGCAAAATCCTGGATTGGGCCATACGGCAAAGAAGCACTAAAACCACTATTTCTGACACAATAACTAAAGCAGTTATGTTTTATCCCGACGGTGAGGGAACCGAAATACCGCCATATGTGAAAACAAACCGAATCGGGAAGGGCTCAAGTCATTTCCGAAGAGTCAACTGGACCGAAAGCGTTACGAAGTGGCGCGTGTTCCTGCCGTCATCCCGGAAACTTGTTCCAGACTTAGTCGAGCATTTTCCAAGAATATATTTCAACAGAAGCCCGACACCAACGAAGTATTTACACATAATAATATCTCGATAGCAATCCTTGCGCCTACGCAATCAATGTTTCGGGTTGATCAGAACGGCAATTCGTGTGGTAATGGACGTCAGGCAGATTCAACCAGTTGGATCGTTAGCAATTTAGACAACAAGGCACCGGCAAATTTAATCGTTACACAGTTTAGATAACAAAGATTCTGACCAAGGATGACAAGCAACAAGATAGAGTTTTGGCCGGGCTGAAAAACAGAGCACGGGTCGTGCACCCCGACAGAGCCCGGCGACTCGTCATCAAAGAGGGCTCAAGGGCAAAAGGGCTCAAGGACAAAACGGGCCGCTATATACACCGGCGCCAGCCCCGGGACTGCGGCAGGGCATCAGATGGCATGTGCCGCGCCGCTTCGTAGCCAGCTGCACATGGCTGTACAGAGAGGATGAGTTTGTTTTTGATGCATACGCGTTTCGGCCAGCATAATTCGAAGAATGTCGTTCCACGCACGCCACCAAGCAGATTTAAAAAGCCAGGCGCATCACTACCCGTGGCAAACATCAACGCCGCGTACCGAACAAGATGAGCAGTTGGGTGATTGAACGTGTAGTTAGTCCCACAAACAATAAATCGCCAACATGTCAATATAAAATGCCCGTCACACACCCGCGAAATATCAGATCACCGAAAATGTCACGTCGCGTCGAGGTGACAAGGGCACAAAGGAAAGGGCGCCGTCGCAGAGTGCACCCATGCTGGCAAGCAGTCACTATACCGACCTACGAAACCAACGCAGCCAAAACCACATCGCCGTGCCTTGCAGAAGAGTATTGCGCAATGCTCCCGGACGCAGACGGGTATAAACATAGGTCAGTCGGGTCCGTACAGTCCGTGAGTCCGACGGCCACCATCAGCCGAGATCTGGCCTGAGTCGGTCGCCGGCCTGGCCTCGTTGCTCCGATGGCGGAGCTGGGCCACACCGGCCGCCCAGCCGTGCAGACCACGCCGGTTCAGCGGAACCGTCCTCCTGCGCAGCCGACCGGCCTCAACGGAAGCCGGGCCTCAGTCGCTGCCCCTGCGCTCCGGCTCCGGCTCCGGCTCCGGCTCCGGCTCCGGCAGCGGGTGCTTCGCGGCCGGCTTCCCGCCGCCGATGCGGCCGCCCTGGACGGCGCGAGGACGCGGCGCCGGCGCTGTGCCGTCCCTGTCGTCCCCGACGGTGGCGCTGAGCAGGGCGGTGACGCGTCGCCTGCAGCCGCCGACGGGCTTGACGCAGGGCAACACGCGCGTCGGCCGCAGGTAGCGCACTACCTCCTCCACCTGGCGCAGCGACGCGTGGACCGAGTAGAGCACGCGGTAGTCCTGCGCGCCCGCCTGCAGCGTCATGGTGTCCACCGACTGGTCGATGAAGAAGTAGAGGGTGGAGAGCCTGACGGCACGCAGCGAGCCCTCGCCGACCTCGTGCAGGCAGGAGAAGTAGGGCGGCGCGAGCTCACGCGCTTCTCGTCCGGTCCCGACGTCGGGCACGCCGCGATTTCCGGCAGGCGCTCGTACAGCGCGACCTTACCCGGGTCCACGTGCACCGGCTGGCCGGTGACCTCGCACAGGCGGCTAAACACGTGTTCGTAGGCATAGCGCGCGCGGCACAATGACCTGAACACCGTCACAAGGCGTGACCCTGCCACCCTGCACGGCGCCAACCGACGAGCCAGACGTACGGCCGCAGGCGACACTGACCGGTTGCACTGTCGTTGGAATCGTCACAGGGGCGGATCTAGCCTGGAGTTTTTTTCGGGGAGGGGCAACCGTTCGTCGCCAGCTGGCTAGTGTGGGATCCGAGGTCCAGTGCATGGTGTCTCTTGCGAGTACCTAGTAGGGACACCATTCAAATACCGAAATGCTTTAAACCTCCGTCATGTTCTTTAGTGGGAGGGTTAACAAGGGCTGAGATGATTAAAAACGTTTTCTGGTTTTTGAACGGTCCTCGTACAATGCTAACGCGCAGCAATTAAACCACCCATGTGCTTATCAAACACGATGTTTGCGCCGAGTAAGCCTAAGCCGCATCAACATGCGTTTTGTTTTGATATTCAAATAGCTGCCAACTTTTCCCCATGAAGGTTTTTCCGAAACGGAAAGAAATGCTTGATACCTCACCATTAAAGTGAAAACAGACGGCAGGTAGACGAAAATTTTATGAAGTTCTGGGAATGTTTTTTTGGGGAGGGGGGGGCAAAGCACACTCAGAGTTTTTTTGGGGGGGCGGGGCATGGCCCCGTGCCCCCGCCCCCTCTAGGATCCGCCTATGAATCGTCAGTGGTAATCGTCAGTGGTAATCGTGACTTTACGTGCACATCAAGTCCGAGCTGTCGGGGCAGGCCTAGAGCGGTGGCTCGGCGTCGGGTGCGTCCTTGCAGCCGCGCAGGTCGGGGTCAGGTCGGGGCGCAGCTTCATGCCGCATGGGCAGTCTCGCAGCGCGCCACCAGGCCGTTCGTCGTCTCGTTCGACGGGATCGGGAAGCAGAAGCCCTCACAGCCGCCGTTGTTCTCGCGGCACGGGTGGTCCGGGTCAATCTGAAGAGAGAGAGAGAGAGAGAGAGAGAGAGAGAGAGATAGAGAGAGAGAGAGAGAGAGAGAGAGAGAGAGAGAGAGAGAGAGAGAGAGAGAGAGAGAGAGAGAGAGATAGAGAGAAGAGAGAGAGAGAGAGAGAGAGAGAGAGAGAGAGAGAGAGAGAGATAGAGAGAGAGAGAGAGAGAGAGAGAGAGAGAGAGAGAGAGAGAGATAGGAGAGAGAGAGAGAGAGAGAGAGAGAGAGAGAGAGAGAGAGAGATAGAGAGAGAGAGAGAGAGAGAGAGAGAGAGAGAGAGGAGAGAGAGAGAGAGAGAGAGAGAGAGAGAGAGGAGAAAAGAGAGAGAGAGAGAGAGAGAGAGAGAGAGAGAGAGAGAGAGAGAGAGAGAGAGAAGAGAGAGAGAGAGCAGAGAGAGAGAGAGAGAGAGAGAGAGAGAGAGAGAGAGAGAGAGAGAGAGGAGAGAGAGAGAGAGAAGAGAGAGAGAGAGAGAGAGAGAGAGAAGAGAGAGAGAGAGAGAGGAGAGAGAGAGAGAGAGAGAGAGAGAGAGAGAGGAGAGAGAGAGAGAGAGAGAGAGGGAGAGAGAAGAGGAGAGAGGAGAGAGAGAGAGAGAGGAGAGGAGAGAGAGCAGGAGAGAGAGAAGAGAGAGAAGAGAGGAGAGAGAGAGAGAGAGAGAGAGAGAGAGAGAGAGAGAGAGAGAGAGAGGAGAGAGAGAGAGAGAGGGGTTATGGTCCGGCGACCCGTGAGCTGAGAGGGGTAGGGGGGGGGGGGCGAGCGGTGGCGGCCGACCACGGAACACGGCGGGCTCAGCCATCACCGGTGCAGCCCACAAGGACAAGGCCTGCCTGGCATGACACCGATGTAGAGTTTCCACAGAATCGCAACATTTGTGAACTGGGACGCGACAGCCAATGATGCAAAAATAATGCATCGTTAATAAACATTTCATAATAAAGATTTGCTCACGTAAATATCCGTAAATAAAACTTAATTTTCCTTCCCAAGACCTTACGTAATTGCACAGCAACTGCACGTGACAATGCAAGCTCCGCTCACTCCATCATGTAACGTTAGCCGCGTGAGTTACCTTCTGGACGTCGCGTGCGTACACCTTGACGCCGTACAGGCGGTTGAACTCCTGGACGCGCGCCACGATGGTCTCATTGGCGCCGCTCAGCTTGTTGAGCCGCACGATGGCGTCCAGTCGCCAGTCCGTCATGTAGATGTGCTCTGGAACGGGCACGTGACGCTTAAACCGACGCCAATAGCGGCACGGAAGCGTGCAGCCATCAGGGGTTCCGAGCTCCAACCCGGGGGTATCCAGCCTAAAGCCCTGCACTAATTTCAGACATCCACAACCAGTGGAGCTATAGAAGACATAAAAGCATGAAGGCATAAAGATATCAGGCTAACAAACAGCCACAAGGGCCCATCGAGGTTGGCCTACCTCACACATCCTCGAAACTTATCTTACCATCTGACCTGCCTGACGTTAGCTGTAAATGAGATCCTTAGACCGATGGAGCTTGTCCGAACGATTTTTAAATGTTGCTAAAGAGGGACTTCCTACAACTTCGTTTGGCCGCCCACTCCAGTGATTCACTAGTCTTGGATTAAGTGACACCTGCATCTTCATAAGACTACTCCTACCTTTTGCTAATTGAAACTGGCTTCCTCCATGTATCGGCCTAAGGTCCAGTGCTTCTTGTAGATCTACCTTATCTATCCCTTTCATAATCTTGTATACTTCTATCAGATCCTCAGTAAATACAAATCCAAGACCCGACGCCTATCCTTATATTTCAAGTCGCCTATCTCAATCAAAGCATTTCAATGGAACGCAATACATCAGAGATCAACGCATCCTTCATTTCGGGTCCGCCGTTCGAGCTACGCGCCTCCGCCAGGCCGAACGCGCGTCACCCACCTTTGAAAATGACGAGTGAGAACGGGTGCCCGATGCTCGGGCTAGTGATGGTCTTGATGTCTGTGCCGTCCAGCTTGGTGTGCCGCACGTGGTCCAGCAGAGCGTCACACCAGTACAGCCGGTCGCTGTCGTAGTCGATGCTGAGGCCGTTGGGCCAGCCGAGCACCAGGCCGCGGAACACCTCTACGTGAGTTCCGTCGGCGTACGCGCGGCTGATGTTCGCCGGCCGGCCCCACTCCGACAAGAAGATGTACCTACAGCACGCCAACAGCAGCGGTCAACACCACAACGGCGCCTACCGCTCTTGGCAGGTGTGTGTGAAAGAAACGATTTCACTTGGACAACTGCGAATGCTGCGTGAAGGTTTTCCAATGGCACACCATGAAACTTAGAAACTGCTAAGCCATGCACAGATCCTAAATATGATCAATTGGCAAAACAAGCTTCCTCTGAGACCAGTTTATGGCCGATCGACCTGCCATAAACGTTGCTTACAACACACAACAGAATGATGGAACTTTGGCCAGGTGTTTGTGGCGAGCGTCTCGTCGCCTCCCGTCCCCCCCCCCCCCCTCCATATGGCGCTGAGTGCACCGCCGCCGACCACTCACCCCTTGTTGGGGTGGACCACGATGGCACGCGGCCGTGCCAGTTTCGTCAGCAGAGTGCGCCGGATGCGTGCGGCGCCCGTGCTGATGACGTTGAGCGTGGCTGTGTCGGTGTAGTAGAGGTTGCCGGAGATCCAGTCGAGCGCCAAGCCTTCGACGCCCTTGTCCTGCGAGGCGAGTATGTTCTCGTGGCCGGTGCCGTTTAGGTTGACGCGATAGATGACGTCGAGGTCCGCGTCAGAGTAGTAGATCTTCCCGTCGAGGTAGTCGAAATCAAGGCCGACGAAGCGGGCCTTGCGCGACACGATCGGCATCATGGCGTCGGTCTCGTTGACCGCCGCTGGGTCCAGCACCTGCGCCCACGCCGACCAGCGCGTTAGCAAGTCTGGGTACCCTGGCGGTCACTGTCTCACCTGCGATGATCGCCTTCTTCCGGTCGAGTACGACGACGACAGAAGACCAGAAAACTGACGAAGAACTACTGTAAGAATAAAAAGCAATGCATCCATACGCAACAAAACGTCCAGATGATCTAAGACAGGCGTCCCGGGAAAGACGTATTCGCCTCGTGTACACATTCTTGGCTGCTGTAGTCTTCCTCGCTTACCGCCACGCATAGCACGTCGATGTGAATACATTCCAAATAACACAGGGAGCACCACTTAAACACACAAACCAAACACAACACACAAGTCGAAACCTAGCCGGCACACACCTGTCCTTTGATGAACCTCTGCTGGGAGTACATGAGGAACTCTTGGACGGGAGCGCACCCCATCTTGTCCGCCCTTAGGTAGTAGCCGACCTGGCAGGCGCAGCGGTGACCGAGACCGGTGCCCTCCGTGTTGCGGGTCAGCAGGCACAGGTGCTCGCACATGCCGTTGCTCTCGCCGCAAGGAGTCGGCACTAGAACGGGCGGACTGGGGTCACGAGTAGGTCAGAGTCTACAGATGCGACCGTGTGACTGTGCAGCACGACCGTTAACAGGGCGGGAACTCGGCCACTTGACGCCATGTTAAAATCCTCAAAACCCCAACGTGACTCGATGATGCTGGTTCATGACGGGCTTTGTAGTCAACGGAATGCCGTACAGATGACATGTGTCAAACATCACTGGCGACGGTGACACCAAGCGCTGAACAGTGAGAAGTGGACCGCTCTCTTTGACGACACAAAGTGGTAGAACCACTCGTGACCTCCCACGCAGACCCATGTAACCGCTCGCCCCGTCCCCAGCTGCGCGGGAGCCGATCGACTCACACTGCGGCTGCAGCAGCTGGTGCACGGCCTTGATGGCCTTGAGGTCACCGGTGACGCCTTTGTCCGTGTGCACGTTGCGGATGGAGCTGATGCCGTTGAACTTGTCCACCTCGATGACGCTCTGCCGCATGGCATCCGTCCAATAGATGCTACGCTCGAACGTGGTCAGCCGGCTAGGCGCCGGTGCGTTTGTCGAGCCGCGCAGAACGGGGAACCTGCCGATGCTGGAGCTCGTCAGGAACTGCCGACGACACGGACATGGCCGCGACACCGACGCCCCAGCTAGGAACACTGCACTGGGCACTTTAATGTCCAAGGAACTTGGACATCAAAGCAAATTGCAAAATACTGCAAATTTCCCCACGCCCTAACATTTGGCAAGCATCCAACGATGTTTGCGTCACGCATGTACATCAAGCGAGCAAGCTCGAGCGCGTCAGGCACCTCCTCTTGCAGGTCGGTGGAGCGCGGTGACGTAAGTTGGTGATGTCAGGTTCTACCGTTGTCATATCCAGAGACGCGAGCAGCGTCGCGTACCTGTTCTCTCCGTCGTAGTCGACCGTCTCTATAAAGCCGAGCAGGGAGGAGCACAAGTAGACGCGCTTGTTGATGATGTCGACCGTGACGCCAGACGCCCTGTAGATGGCGTCCGAGACCAGGGCTCGCAGTTCCGAGCCGTCCATGTTTGCCCGTACGATCCGGTCTTGGTCCGCGATGAACATGTACCTGCCGTGCACAGGACGCAACGTGAGCATGTCCCGATTAACGCGTCACATCTTACCTGTGGCCGCGGCAGGACGATTACGTAACGCCTCGAAAACACGCCCCATTCTCCGTCACATCTCCCATTGCGTAACCCTGTCACATCGGCACGCGAACACCCCGTCACCACACAGGCTGCTGAGAAACGCACTCAGTCCCGAGTTGCGGAACATCTCAAGACTTCACGGCGGACAGATTGTCCGGTTAGCTATCTGCAGTTCAGCTTTGGAGCGCGGTCCAGCCTGGTCTCGAGCAGCCCCCTCCCCCCCCCCCCCGGCTTGTTCCCAGACGCCGCCACTGACCCGAGCAAAGGGTCGAGCGCCACGTCGCGCGGACTGGTCAGGCCGTAGCTGATGACGATGGCGTGGTAGCGGCCGTCGATATCGAACACGTCCACCTTCTGACCGATCATGTCGGCTACGTAGATGTTGTCACCGATCCAGTCGACGGCGACGGAGACGGGCGCCCAGGCGGTGCTGGTGCTGATTTTGAGCACGGCCGCGCCTGGGTCGTTGTTCAGCCGGCTCCGGTACACCTGTGCCGCCCAACAGGGGGACGTGTACACCAGGGGTGCCGGCCAGGGGTGCACGCCACACACACCAGGGGCAAACGCTGGAGATATACACACCTGAGGCACCAGACTGAGGTGCGGGTTATGGGTAGGTGGGTCGGCCCGCGGCACGACGCCGTCCCCGCCCCCCCCCCCCCCCTCCCACATACACATAGAGTAAAAGTCAGTGGTGCATCCGCTTGAAAATGGATAAGTGGTATTCACGTTTGGGGTACAGGTCAAGGCCAAACGCACACCCTTGCGTCAGATGTCAGGGATACGCACTCTCGGTGCAGAGACCAGCGCACACACACAGCTGGACCACAAGCTAGAGGCACAGAGTCTACATCACTGACCTGTGGTCCCGGTGTCTGCAGACGCTGGGACCACAAACCCTGGAGCCTAGGCCCTGGATGTGGCTGGGGACCGTTCTGGCTGGCATTAAGCGGCCAGAGGACCGTTTAATGTCAGTCGGAGGTAAGCAAAAAACGGGAACGGTCAGAGGACCGTTTAATGTCAGCCGGAGGTAAACGCAAAACGGGAACGGTCAGAGAACCGTTTAATGTCAGCCGGAGGTAAGCAAAAAACGGGAACGGTCAGAGGACTGTTTAATGTCAGCCGGAGGTAAACGCAAAACGGGAACGGTCAGAGAACCGTTTAATGTCAGCCAGAGGTAAGCGCAAAACGGGAACGGTCAGATGACCGTTTAATGTCAGCTGGGGGTAAGAGCAAAACGGGAACGGTCAGAGAACCGTTTAATGTCAGCCAGAGGTAAGCGCAAAACGGGAACGGTCAGATGACCGTTTAATGTCAGCTGGGGGTAAGAGCAAAACGGGAACGGTCAGAGAACCGTTTAATGCCAGCTGGGTGAGCACAACACCGGCACGCCTGCACCCAACAGAACCGCTCCGGACACGAGGAATTCGGCAGCTCAGGAGCGTGTCCATCTCCCGGACCGGTACGTGAGCCAGCAGAGCTGCTTCATCACGACCTTATATCATTCAAAGCCGGCCCTAGCTGAAGCGGGCCAGCGAGTCCAGAGGGTGGGGCGCAAGAGCGCAAGCATCGATTGGTCCGGGGTCATCCAAATGAATCGTTTTGGAGACCATGATTTCCGATGGCTCGGTACGTCCGATTATATTTTCGAGCAGACGTTTGTCCATGTCCGCATGTGTCTCTAACAAATGGCCGCCGCGTTCGCACACCAGCGGCGGTAGTTCCTGTCGCAGAGCACGGCCATTCCTAGCGCAGAGCGCGGCCGTTCCTGACGCAGATCGCGGCCGTTCCTGACGCAGAGGGCGGCCGTTCCTAGCGCAGAGTTCGGCAGTTCTTGGCGCGGAGCACGGCCGTTCCTGGCGCAGTGCGCGGCAGTTCCTGGCGCAGAGCGCGGGCGTTCCTGACGCAGATCGCGGCCGTTCCTGACACAGAGGGCGGCCGTTCCTGGCGCAGATCGCGGCCGTTCCTGATGCAGAGCGCGGCAGATCCTAGCGCAGAGCACGGCCATTCCTAGCGCAGGGCGCGGCCGTTCCTGACGCAGATCGCGGCCGTTCCTGACGCAGAGGGCGGCCGTTCCTAGCGCAGAGTTCGGCAGTTCTTGGCGCGGAGCACGGCCGTTCCTGGCGCAGTGCGCGGCCGTTCCTGGCGCAGAGCGAGGCAGTTCTTGATGCAGGTCGCGGCCGTTCCGGGTATGCTTTGGTATAGATCCGAGCTGGTGAGCTGGCCGCGCCGCGAAAGTCGGGAGTGACATTCGGCACCACCTGGGCACGCGGTGACTGGTGCAAGGTGCAAGCAACGACTTTACATAATTTCCCTGCAGGGGCGTCACTTTATATACTTACCGTCTTCCGGGGGAAGGGGTCTGAGCCCAATGCTGATTTGAGCACTCCCCCCCCCCCCCCCCCCGGTATTGGCTGAGCCCCCGCTGAGCTGAACCAATTTTATGAAGTAGCACCTCTGCTTCCGTGGCACAAGTGTTTGTGACATTAGGGCAACAGGTCGGAGGAATGCTGGATGTTTCTCCGATCCAGCTAAGCCACGATCATTTCACCACGACTGCTGTCATGCCCTGGCGCCAGCGACGTCTCCCTGTTTTCCCACGCTGAGTGTGTCCCTAGCACCCGGCGACAGTATCTCGGCTGTCGGGGAGGCCGGTGTGGCGGGTGGCGCCGCCTGCCTGGACCCGAGGACGCGTCCAGACCGGGCGAGCCGGCAGCGCGCAGCCCGGCGGCCCGGGCCTCGGACGTCCGGCCACGTTCGAGAGCGGCGATCAAAGCAGGAGAGGCCGGCCACCGGTCGCCGGCAACACCTCTGGGAGGATGGGGGGGGGGGGGAGGGTATCTCGCGCCACGGCGTCGATGTATTAGTAGTTAACTGATGTAGGTAGACCACAATAATCAGGTACAACAACAGCGTCTGTGATCGCATCAGACTGCCGGCGTCTGGGAACAGCACACAAGGCTTTTCGGGGGGAGCATTCATGGCCACTGTTACCTGCGGTGAGCGTTCGGAACCATCGCTATCTGAACATCTGAATGGAAGGTCGGACACCGTCGCTGTCTGCGGCTCGAAGCCCGTCCTGCTGGACTGCACGTACTTGAAAGGTTCCCAGGGCGGGGCCGAAAACCGTACGCAACAAGGAGTACCAACGGGAGACTTGGGGTTGGGGGAGGGGGGGGGAGCCTTAGAACACTTGTGAGTTGGAAGTCGCAACCACCACATGTAAACCACACCACACGACCCTGTACCTGGGAGGAGAACGGACCACTGACTGACTCCCGAGCCCCCCCCCCCCGTGTTCGCGGTCAGAGCGAGACACGCTCTGCCGCCTGGGTCAGCTGCACGTGATCCCGCGCAGTCGCGCCGTCACCTTCTGCGTGTCGACGTCGGACCAGAAGAGCATGTCGCGCTGGTAGTGGTAGTCGATGCCGCTGGCGGCCGTGGTGTTGACCACCACCTCCGCGTCGGCCGGGTGGCGCGGGTCCAGTCGCACGATCTGTCGACACCGACGCGGCCCCTCAGCGGACAGCTAAACGCAGCGGAAACGAGCCCCAACGCGACGGTCAGAGCGGCGCTATCGGGTCGCCGCTCGAGTGTGTCGCACGCATGCGGACATTCGACACAAGAGCCGCGTGAATTGTCAAGTTTTGGATGACGCATTGACTTCCGGTGTTAATCGGGTGAAGGGTAAAGCGAGCCCCGATCACCCGTTTCCATCGGGGGCTGGTAATATAGCAGAACAGGTCAGGTCAACACATAAGTCCAGGAGCACAACGCTACCATGTCCGTATTTTTCGTGGATTGTTATTCGCAGCTGCCACGCTATGGAGGCATTCCATTTGTCACATTATTCACTGCAGATCACACACTTTCAAACATCAGTGAGCGAATAGTGACCACGGCTAGGTGACAGCAGGACAAGAGCAGTGGGCTCCACCCACCTGTCCGCTGGGGTGGGGCGTCCCCTGCTACAGAGCACACAGCCGTGCGCGCCGTGCTCTAGCGTGTGCATGTATTGCGAGAGCAAGTGCAGAAGCATGCTGACGTGCAAAAACGCCGGCCACAAACTGAAGGCACAAATGTAGATGACTTCCGATAGACCTTCTCTGCTTGACCTGCAGCCAGAGGTCAGTTCCCTCCTTCCTCGGGTGTGGCACGTAGCCCGTCGAGGAAGAAAGACCTCACAGTGACCAATAAAAGGCCGGTGGCTCAGTGCCGTCTCGGCCGTCGCGCCGCGTGGGCGGTTCGGACGGCGTCTCCGGGTCACGGCTTGGCGCGGGCTCGTGTCAGGGTGGGGTGGTCGGCTGCCGATCAAGAAGGGAATTTCTCTGAACCGGTCACCATTGCGCGCCGGCGCTTTACGATGTGTTGCCACTGTTCGGCCCAGCACACTGAGAGCCCGTTTATGTGACGAGAGTCTGGCAGCCGTTCGGCCGGGGCGGGTACTTTCCCGCCGGGCTAGTATCGGAAGCGCTAGTGTTTGTAACCACTAATGTACCGTAACGCCTAATGTATCAAAAATGCATCGAACATTAGGTGTCATGATACATTAGTGATTACGAACATCAGGTGTTGCGATAATCCCCCCGTACCCCGTAATCGTAGTCGTAATCGCCCCACTGTGCCCGGACCCGACGCCGGTAGCGATCCGACCTCGTCAGCGGAGCGGGCGGCGCGCGCTCGGCCACGGCTGGAGCGCAACGTCACACCCAGTGCCCCATCAACGACAGAGTCGGTCGGCGACGTTTCCCACCCCTTTGTTGCGAGTCCCGCCCGTCCGGAGCAGCCGGCGGAACGTCGAGCGCGGAGCCGCCCGTGCAGCTGGCGGCGCTGGATGCGGCGGGGCGACACCCGCGCCCGGCCGCGGGCGTCGGCGCGGCGCCCGCCAGCCGGGTGCGGTCACCGACGCTGACGAATCGCCAGGTGCGATGATGCTTCAGAGAAAGCCTTGCACGGCGCCGCCGACGCAACGTTCCCGCGAATGCCTGGCATTTGAGTCAAGGTGGACGGGTGCGGCGGCGCCCGCGCCAGGCTTATCGCAGGTCTCGTCGAGCGCCGGCGACGTGAGCTGAAGAGCAGGCCCGACCAATGAAGACTCCGGTGTGGAGCCATTGTCCAGGACCCAGGTGTCTGTTTGTTCAACACGAGGCTGGGTGATGCTTGTTGCTGTCGATGTTTGACTCCAGCAAAAGAGGTGTTAGGTAACGCGTCTGCGTGTGCAAACTAGGCGCGTCTTCACCAACAATTACGAAAATAAGCGTGGTCCACCATTAGGCGCTTTGGGGTGCCCGAGCCGACAGGCTTCATCGCGCCAAGGTGTGCAGGCATGCGAGACCGCGCGCTGGCATGCTACTGCTCAGTGGGGCGGAACGCTCGGTGCGTACCTTCTTCTCGTGGGCGTAGTAGAGCCGCAGCGCCTCCGAGTTCTCGGCGCGGCACGTGGTGCCGTTCAGTTGATAGCCAACCTCGCAGAGACACCTGAAGCTGCCCTCGGTGTTGGTGCAGAACTGGTCACAGACGCCCCAGCCCTTGCACTCGTTAATGTCTGGGAACAGAGAGGCGATATTCTCAGCACGTCTTCACCATGCACTCTGCTGCTGAAACAGCTCAAGGCTGAATCGTGCGGCGTAGAGGGAACCAAGCGCCATCGAGCGAACACTTATGGACAGGAACAAAACAGACGACAGTGGAACACCCATCACATCACAGCCCTCGGCGCAGCTAGAGAAAATCACCGCATCATCACGACTGCAGCACATGTCATTTCCTGGAGCCAAGCATTGCCCCCCCCCCCCCCCCCGGAAAGCATAACACGCCCCGGGGCAATCCCTCGGGCCGGACTCAAGCTCCGCACTCGGGACACACAGCTCAGTGGCCCACGGCACTGCCGAGCTGTCACCGCAGCCTCATCGCGGCGGGGAGGGGGCCGCCGTCGACTGGGGGGTGAGCCTCCGGGGGCCGCCGTCGACTGGGGGGTGAGCCTCCGGGGGCCGCCGTCGACTGGGGGGTGAGCCTCCGGGGGCCGCCGTCGACTGGGGGGTGAGCCTCCGGGGGCCGCCGTCGACTGGGGGGTGAGCCTCCGACCTCACACTGGCCGCGCTTACCATCGCAGAGTCGGCCATCCCCTGCCAGCGCCTTGCCTTCGGGGCACAGACACATCCCGCCGTCCATGGAGGGCCGACAGTTGTACTCGCACTGCAGCGACTCGCACAGGTCGGTGGCTGCCGACGGGCCGCACGCGGGTCAGCAGAGGGTGCATGGACGCTGGGAAGGGGAACCACGGGCTAGACCGGACCGGGCTCGGCACGTCACACGTGGGCATGGGGAGGCAGGGTGTTTTCCCTGGTCGGCGGAGCCGGCCAAAACATAAATATTATGGAGGTACACTCACAGGCACAAGGTTCTGGCATGGGTCGGTTCTCCAGGGAACCATCTTCCAAAGTTCGAGGCGATGGAAAGCTGTGGCGGCCAGACAAGGGCAGCCTCGTCTGGAGGCCCGTCGGACAAGACACGGATGACATGTCTTGTTTGTGCGGTGTTCCCGAGGCGGTTCGCGGGACGCGGGACGTGAAAATGCTACGTCATACAGCCAGGGGTTCTACAGGCGAGCCCAGAGCCGGTGGAACGTGGATTCCATCTTAGAGTGACAGGGTTCGCAGAAGGTCGAGCAAACAGCTGAATGGATTCGTTGGAAGGCATGGCAATATCGCTGCCGATCGATTGCGAAACAAGACGCGGAAAAATCCTCAAGACCGAATGCAGACACGGCGGAATATAGTCTGATTGGAGGTACTCAGGCCTGAGGAGACTCGATGAATCTTGGCAGATGAATGATGAACGATGAATCTTGGCGGCACCGGTGGTCGCGTATCTCAGAGACTTGACTGAGCAATTCGTTTTCCCCTCTCGCGCAACAGGTTAGAATACGACTCTCACACTCTTATGGTGTCAACACCATACACATATGCACGGACCTTGGCATTGTCAAACGTGTGCGCATGAGCACACGCGCACAGACGCAAACAGACGCACACAAACACAACAACAGAGGAGCAAGTCCTCGCACGCACGCTCGCCGCCAGCACGCCATCAGCGCACCGCGCCGGTCGGCAAGACTTGTCTTGACTTGACTTGAGCTTGAAGTCAGTACCGAACGGTCAGCGCCGGTGCCCGAGCCGTCGACTCACAGCACGTGTCGATCTCCTCGTCGGCTCGGTCGGTGCAGTCGGCCGTGGCGTCGCACAGTTTGGTGCCGTTGATGCATTTCCTGTCGGCCTCACACAGGAACTGGCCCTCCGGGCAGTCGACAGCCTGGAGGGCGGGTGAGGGGGAGGGGAGGGTGAATGTGAGCTGGCGGCCGGCAGGGGTGCGGCCACTGGTGGGAAACGGCGGATATGGCAGCGTCCCGGCCAGTTTCACGAAGAGGGCTTTGTGTTTATCAATTCTGACGCTGCAACGTACGCTTTTTGGCACATCTGTCCAAGCACTATGCACTATTCTGGCCATGACCATAGTAAACAGTTTCCTCAACCATGCTCAGCGTCCTGGTCACACCAGGAGTCGCCGGTGGACGAGACACACACGACTCGACCCTGTTCCGCCAGTCGTAACAAGGACGTCAGATAGCCAGTGACGGCGCTGCAAATGCCGCTCTCAATCACCGGCAAACGCCATTAAAAACGGGCGCCGGCGCCTAGCCGGCTGACGCCGCCAGCGGGCGGCTGGGCTGGGCTGGGCTGAGCTGGTCTCGGCTCGGCTCGGCTCGGCTCGGCTCGGCTCGGCTGGGCTCGGCTGGGCTCGGCTCGGCTCGGCGCGGCTGGGCTGGGCTGGGCTGGGCTGGGCTGGGCTGGGCTCGGCTCGGCGCGGAGCGGTGCGCTAGGGCTGGCGGTGCCGGCGCCCCGGTCGGCTCACCTGACAGTCACTCTCGTCGGATCCGTCCAAGCAGTCGGTCGACGAGTCACACTTCCATTGGTGCGGAATGCACATGCCGTTGTCGCAGCGGAACTGGCCCTTGCGGCAGGCCGGGAGGTCTGGCGGCAGTCCGGCCGGTCAGGCTCGTCGCACGCAGGCGGCGCGGCGGGGGCAGCGAGTCCGCACAGGCCGTCTGAGCACTGCTGGTGGGCTCGAGGGGCGGCGATTGGACGGGGTGACGGCAGCATTCCGACGCACCGCGGCCAAAAACAGCACCAACTGGGATGGCACGGCGGGCCGGGCCTGCGTCTGGCACTCCGTTGTGTAGCCATCAGCCGAGCCACCCAGCTGGACCAAGCATCCACCTCTTACAGCCTGAGGTCAGGTGGGGGGGGGGGGGGGGGCTTAGATTGGCAGTAGGGTGTGCTACGGCCACCAACGCCGCACACTTCCCGACACTTACAGCAGACTTCCTCGTCACTGCCATCTTCGCAGTCCTTGCGGTGGTCACACTTCTGGTCCTTCTCTATGCAACCTTTGCCGTCCTTGCACCTGGCGGATCAAAGGTGACGCCATTGATTGTCGGTGTAGCAAAGGGTGTAGCATGACTGCATATGCCGAGATGATTATAAAACTCCGCCCTCCAGAAATCGTTCAGTGAAAAATCGATGCTGCCATCGCCATCGCCAGTTGCAAACCAATGATGTTTGCCACGGGCGATAGCGAACCAAAAACGCGACGCTGCCTGAACATGTCTTTGGAAACACATGTCTCTAACACGTTTACGGGTCACGTTTTACAATGGGTGGACTGTGCACAGCTGCAAACCCTTTACGTCTCGAGATGGGCGCTAAGAAAGAATGGCATTGCATTTGGGAAACAAACAAATGAAGATCTGCAATTCTTATCCAATCTCCCATTTCCGTGAGACAACGGCATGTCGTTCCACCAGCTCCACATGGCGACGTCGAAGCAATGGCCGCTCACAGAACCCGTGAGTCAATGAAATAGGGGGGTGACAGGCAGCAACAGGATGTCTGTCTCGGCAGAGTGGCACGGGTAACAGTCTCCTCCGAGGGAGGCTCATGCTTGCAGCTCAGGTCCCACCTCAGCTGGCGTAGGTCACACCAAAGCTCACCTCAGTGGGCCCAAGTCATGCCAGATTTCACCCCAGTTTCACCTTGGCTGGTCCAGGGCATTTCACCTCACCCGCTTGGTCCAGGGCATTTCACCTCACCCGCTTGGTCCAGGGCACAGCAGGTCTCACCTTACTTAACTGGTTCCGGTCACAGCAGGTCTCACCTCAGCTTGTCCAGGCTGCAAGCGGTGCCATCGCATTGGTCCTCGTCCGAATGGTCCCGACAGTCCAGGTATCCGTTACACTTCTTGAACGGCGGCACACAGAGGCCGGAGCCGCACTTGAAATCCTCGGCGTTGCACTCGCGGTAGTCTGCGGCACACGGAGGCGACGGCTGATGGGGACGACGTTGCCGAGAGCCCGTGACAGGCACCGCCGGGCGGAGGCAGCGGGGACTGAATAACGTGCCATCAAACAGAGGTGACGACAACTGGGGCAGCCCTGGCAGACGGAGGTGACGACAACTGGGGCAGCCCTGGCAGACGGAGGTGACGACAGCTGGGGACAGCACTGGCTAAAGGAGGTGACGGCAACTGGGGCAGCCCTGGCAAACGGAGGTAACGACAACTGGAGGCAGCCTTGGCCAATAGAGGTGACGAAAACTGGAGGGAGGAAAACTGTTACTTCCCTGGAAAAGGGAGATGACGATTCGGGGCAGCCCCGGCAAAGGGAGGCAGGGCCCGCTGAAGACCGCGCTAATAAACACTTGCATGGCAACAGCGCAGAAAGCAACGGATTTCCATCGCCAGTAAGGTCTTTGTTAACAAAAATACATTCACGGTAGAACAAGATGCATCGAGGACGTCCGAAGACCCTTGGAGCTGATCATACCCAATATCCCAGGAATGCGGTGCTCCACTCTTGGGGGCGTCCCGTGCCATCCCGTGAACCCCGTCAGCACGTGCGACCGCTGTTCTCTCAGCACAAAATGAGATATTTACAGGCCGTGAATCCCACCCTTGGAGTATGGATGACTGATGGCCAGTCAGTAGCAGCCCGCCAACGCCTAGCGGGCCGCTCAATAGAGGCGGTACTCACTGCAGCCCTTCTCGTCCGCGTTGTCAGCGCAGTCCTGCACCTTGTCGCAGCGGTGGTGTTGCGGCACGCAGTACGTGTGGTTCCACTTGTATTCGCCGCACGCGAACTCGCCCCCCTTGCAGGCGGGTGGTGCTGTCCAACGGGTGACCCAGGGTGAGACAGTGCAGGAGACGCAGGGTGAGGTGGTGCAGGGGACCTAGGGTGAGGCGGTGCAGGGAACGCAGGGTGAGGCAGTGCAGGAGACGCAGGGTGAGGCGGTGCAGGGGGCGCAGGGTGAGGCGGTGCAGGGGACGCAAGGTGAGGCGGTGCAGGGGACGTAGGGTGAGGCGGTGCAGGGGGCGCAGGGTGAGGCGGTGCAGGGGACGCAAGGTGAGGCGGTGCAGGGGACGTAGGGTGAGGCGGTGCAGGGAACGCAGGGTGAGGCGGTGCAAGGGACGCAGGGTGAGGCGGTGCAGGGGACGCGGCGTGAGGCGGTGCAGGACGGACGCGCCGGCGAAGGCTCTCTACCGGGGACCGGGCGGCGGCATGCACGGTGTCAGCGGCAGGTCCGGCACACGGGCGGACTTGAGCACCGGTTTTGCATTCCGCCACAGGAGAAACGTCGCGGCCGGTGTCAAGTCGACAGGGTGAAACATTCGTGTGGGTCCACCACAAAACAAGCATGACGTGGTCCTGTTTTAGAGTTCATACGCAAGGGTTGGGTTTGTGTGGTGTTCAAGCATGCTAATGTTGCCGCTTGTAAACGCTCATGTCCTTGGCCGCTTCGCCAACACCGGCACCGCCCGGAAGGGACCCGGTGGTATGCTGGTCTACCCCAGTGGTATCTCGAATGTTCGTTTGACCTGCTGGGAAGGGTCAACAGGCTGTCTTACCACCTTAAGGCGTCCTTTACTCCCAAACAGATAACGCCCACCAAGAGCCACAGCTGCCTCCCGGCCCGAGCCGCGTCGCTGGTCTGTTACCGGTCACGTCCCCCCCCCCCTCCTCCAACGGCGCCCCCCCCCCCCCCGGCGGCGCAGCCGGCTGTCGGCTGTGTCGCCAGGACCGGCTGGACGGCCAGTCAAGGACAGACAAGGCAACACGTGACCGTGTCATGACGGATAGCAGGGCGTCGGAGGGTAGTCCGGGTATCCACCGCCGTGGTGTCATCAGCCCCCTGCAGCGGGCTCCGGGCAGAAATGTCAGGGAGCAGAGTGGGAGTTGTGGGAGGCATACAACAGACAACAGCATTGGGTAATTATGCAGGTCGCACGGCGCACGGCGCACGGCCGCAAAAATTCAGTGCAGTGGCAAAGGCGGGGAGCGAAAAACGCGGGTAAGTGAATGGGCCCGAACCCACCGTCACCAAAGCAACAACTTTCAGAACTAGACCCACAGACTGCGACATGCTCGAACTGTTCTCGCTGTAACACGCAGGACCCCCCCCCCCCCCTCCCCCCCCCCACACACACAGCGATGAGACGAGTCCACACTGCCGTCCAGTATTTTCCCGCAGCCTGGCAAAGCACAGCTGAAACCCCCTCTCACGAAACCACCTCACAGAAACCACACTGGCATCCTGCCCCCGCCCCCACGCCCGCCGGTGAGTCCGGCTGGTGTCTGCCTCTCTGGTGCCCGCTCGACCACTCACGGCACGACTGCTGCTCGTCCTCGCCGTCCGGACAGTCCTGCTCGTAGTCGCACACCCACTGCCTGGGGATGCACCTCTGGGACGCGCCGCACAGGAAGAACGCCGTCTGACACGTCGTTGAGTAGGTGTCTGTAGACAGGCGAGGCGCGGCGTCAGCAGTGCGGCCCGGACGCAGCGCACGGGGGCAAACGTGGGAGACAGACGGCACGCGGGGCCGGCGACGTGGCGACGCCGCCTCTCCAAACACGATGATGTCTGGTTCCGACGTGTAGATTGCAAGCAGCCGATGACGAGAGTGTGACACAGTCCGTCACTTCGGATGGCGTGGCGCGGAGAGTACACGCCGGTTCAATGTTTCTGACGCGTCTGCTATGCAGGTGCAGCGATCGCCGAGCCTTCCGGACATGAAGCAGTGCCGACAACAAGTCTGACAACGACAGCGGACGGCAGCAGTCTGCAGACGGCAGCGGTACACACACGTGGACGGCAACGGTATTCACCCGCAGACGGCAGCGGTATTTATTCGCAGACGGAAGCGGTACGCACCCGCAGACGGCAGCGGTTAAGCCGGAGCGCTGTACCTGTGTGGAGGGGGGGGGGGGAGGGGCTCTGAATCTCAGCAGCGGTGCCATCAGGGCCGCGTGGCCTGCATCCCGCCATGGAAACACGACCATTGTGAAGGCGCCAAAGGCATCGCGCTTGGCGCGGTTCTTACACACTTACTACATATTTGGCAGAGAATTTGAGAGAAATAGCTTATGGGAATTTGCTTGTGCGACATTTGCATACACTGTAACACAACATGGCGTCACTGCCAGCCAAAACCCTCCGTATCTGGAGGCTGATTTCGTCACTGTTCGCCGAAATGCCGGCGAGGGAAGCGAATGTATGAGGGCCGCGTTTCCGCTTGGTGCTCGCCGCCATGACGCTGCAGCCTCCAGGCATTGCGGAACAGTCTACCGACCTCAGGCGACGCGGCGGAGGCTGCACGGTGTCGCCGGCCATCCTGCAAACCATCAAGGCCACGGTGCGGCAGGGTGTTTGTGACTAAGCCGCTGGCAGTCGTTTCGTCACCGCGTGGCGAGCGCCGAGTCAATTTAATGCAGGGTTGGTCGGTCTGGCTCGTGCGCTGGCGCCACCTCGCGCCAGGAGCTCACCTGGCGCTGAGGAGACTCGTCCGGGGGTTCCCGGGGAAGTACCAGTGGCGGTGAGGGGCCTCGTCCGGTGGTTCCCGGGGAAGCACCAGATGCCAGCTCCGCGCGAGATGAGGTGGGATAACCGGCCCAGACCCTGTCCTATGCGCCAGAGCCGCCGATATCTGGCCGCACCATCCGCCCTCTGCCAGCGGCGGCACGAAATGTCACGCATCGCAAATGTTGAAATGTTTAGAGCCGGCGGCGTGCGGCGCACTGCTACCGTCCAGTCCGGTCCGGCCCGGCCCTGTCCGGTCCGCCAATCCAGTCCAGCGCCCTGGCGGTGAGTCGCCCGAGAGTAGCTTGTGGGAGTTCCAGCTTCGAGCGCAGCCAAGCGACTCGTACATAACGTAGCAGGCAGCGCTGGCCCTCTAGCCGTTTCCTTGCACCTATATTTGTGCGTGCAGAAACGGGAATGGTGACCCCTAATCGGCTCGCCCGTGCAAAAATTTTACTTTTTCAAAGACATTACGGTGTCCCACCAACGCCTGGCCGGCAATTTCTCGATATAGCTGACGGCTTTCGGGGCGAAGAGACGGCAGATCAGCATCCGAACACACCTGCCCGCCGAAGCATTATAGACTCCGCTCTAATAGTAATGTGAATCACACTCAGCATCCCTCAAACGGACTGGGCTGAGCACGATTTTGCGCCAGAAAAATGAGGTGGCGAACATCTGCCGCCCAAACCAGACACGAACATCTCTAACCTACATTTTAGTTAAAAGTACAACAGGTGGACTATGGTCAATGCGCACGCCCCATACCTGGCAGGAAGACCCGTGGTCAGCAGGCGTGAGCTTGGACAGAACGACGGATTCTCAGCTAATTTGAGGGCATCGCATACGCTATCAACGATGTCATTTTCTTCTGAGCAGATAGTTTGGTCATTTGGTTATTTGGATTAAAGACCTTTGGAACAGAAACAATCATTTCAAGGTTATGGGATGAAGGAGAACGGATGACGGTGGAGCCAGACTACATGCTCCTAGGAGGCAACCGCCAAGCCTTAGCCCGCGCAGGGACCCTTCTTCGGGGTGTGCGCTGGGCGCCCGGTCGGGGCTCCCCTCCAGGGCCCCTCGGCCCACTTGAACCTGACGCATGCAGCCTGCCCCGGACAAGCGGGGCGTCGCGAGGATTCAGGATAAAGCAAGAAAGAGTATAAAGTGGTCGTACGTCGGCAGAAAGAAGGTGTACTCTTATTTAATCTAGCGGTAATCCATCCCCGTTGATTTATTCCCATAGAGTTCACACCACGAACGGCCGCCAGGTGTCAGTACTAGTCGAGCGGACAGAACTGAGCCGAACGAACGCCGTGACCCCAACCGACGCCCGAGGCAAGATAGTGGAGCTTGCAGTCAATGGCGGACCCGGCTCAGTTTCACCAGGGGAGGTGTCACGGCCACGCTGGGGAGCACGAAGGCGGAAGTCGCCACCAGGTCTCACCGTTGGGAGCAGCGTATTGCTGCATGGCCGGTAGCGCCCCAACTAGGAGCGCAAGCACGCAATACACATACACCTCCATTGTTTTTGGCACTATCACAGGTCTGCCGAGGCTCACAGATCTATGGCGAAGTCGCTGGGCCCCGCACCCACCCCTACCCGGCGTCCAGCACTGAATGAGGCCTTGCAGACTCACTGGGCCGGCCGGCAGGCACCCGCAGTAGAACTCTGCCCACCCGAGCTGTCCGCCTGGAATTGGACGCCTTTTGAAACAGAGGAGAACGTTCCAGACAAAAGTAATGACGTTTTTGCGTTGGGATTATAACACTGTTAATTTGAATTTGGCGAATGACGTTGTGCGGTGCAGCTGCGCATGATAACTCTGTAAAAACCTCGGTAGCGAAAATAAGGGCCGCTCAACGCCGGTACATTTGCGTTGCTTTATTTGTCTTGAGGCGTTTCGGCTCGTTCAGACCACTTCATGCCCTTGTGAGGATTAGTTCAAATCGAGATTAAATATGTGATTGAATAAACAAATAACGCTATCGAGTTGATAAGCCTTTAGATTGTTTGAAGTATGTCAGTGCGTCTAATAAAATTAAATAGAAGATCAAGAAGATGCGGGTAGTCATTACCCATGCAGTATGCCTCCAATACCTTTTCGCTGCTGTTGAAATTCGCCACATTCCAGTAAAGTATGTTGAACTAAAAGAGGAGGATGACATGGATGACACACATAAGATGAGGGTGTTTGAAGCACAGCTATGTGTGAGTTTGTATGTCTGATTCGGAGGCACGTTAAAACTTTTCCTTCCAAACGGTCTGTGCAGTGCATTGATGGCCAAGGTGTAATTAATGGTTTTATGCCATGAAGCTGGGTCTCATCATTTTCCGCTCACAGTTGTTGCCAATCTTGTTTGCCAAATCGTGAATGACCATATTCATAAAAGCATGGTCAGTAGGGCTGTTGTGATGTCACGGAACCTCAACGCTGTCTTGGCCAATAGGTCGTCTGGCTTATTCCCTGTGATACTCCGATGGCCTCCTACCCACAAAAAGTTAAATGTCCATGTCTTGTGTGCGTATAGAGTGATAAAGTTTTAGCATCTTGACAAGGAGGTGGTGAGTTAAATCAGGAGCAATACGTGATAGTAGGGCCGCCCTTGAATCTGAACAGCTGACTATGGTTTCGGTCCCATGATTACGTCGTTCGATGTGCTGCAAAGAAAGAGATAGGGCGAATAGTTTTGAAAGATAAATTGATCTCCCATCCGGTAATCTACATTTTTGTGAGTAAAGAGTGCGACAGAGTGCGGTGGATCCGGTGTGGTTTTCCGCCTTGGAGCCATCGGTGTACAGGAAGCGACAGTATGGATATTTTGCGATCATACGGTAAACTTTTGTTGCACATAAACTGTTGTCAAGTCGCGTTTAAGATCGGTAAAAAGGAACGAAATTTTCCGAGGTGTCAGCTGTCAGGGGTATTGCTAAATCAGGTGACACGGGGGCTCGCGGTAGAACATAATTTGAACCATGGCAGAAAGCGGTAACTCGAGATGCGATAGTAAGGCCGGAGCGACGTTCTGCTGGTCTGCGACGTATGTGTGGTGAATTCATGTTAATATTTATGTGGAGGTAAATGTTTGGTGATTGAGATTTTGTTGTGTCTCTTGACATACCTCAAAGTGTGCTTAATACGTCGGAGCGCTGGAGGCATAATATACGCATTCACTTCAAGCGCTGAAATTGCGTATGTGCGCAGTGCCTCTTGCATAAGCCGCAAGGGCATATTTTGAATAACAGTTGGGGACCTTAAACTGCCTTCCGCACCACCTGCATACACCATGGATCCATTTTCAATAATCGGAAAAACAAGGATTTGTGAAATAGTAGTAGCGTATGCTGGTCAGCACCGTATCTTGATCCCGAAATGCACCTCAAAAAATATATTCGAGAGCATTACACATTTTGTGCGAACATGCTCGACGCGTTTGGACATAGGCAATCTCGGCCAAGACCGATATCTAGGAACTGGAACGATGGAGCAAGGAATATTGTGGCAGTTGGGTTGATGAGAATATGCCGGGGCGTCTCGTCGCTTTCACCGAAAAATTGAACGGCCGATTTTTAAGCGGAAAATGGAGACCATAACGTCTTGAGCATTGTTGTGACTTGCGAAGCTCGTCTTGGATGCGTGGTAATGAGTGATCAGATTCTACACCCGTGCACCAAATTGCGCTGCCATCCACAAAAAGTGGCGAGGATATGTCTGAAGGGAAACGATCAAATTAATCACCTATCATTAAGTTGAAAAGCATTGGAGATATACAGATACCTTGTGGAAGACCACTCTCTCGAATGGGAACATTAAAGATAGCCGATCGGCATCTTACACGGAACGGCCGCGTTCCCGAGGGAAGCTCTACGAGGTAGTATGCCAAATGTCCCTTGATCCCAACTTATAAGATTTGAAAGTTATAGCGTGCATCTATACTATGTCATAAGCGCTAATGATATCTAAAAACACAGCAATGACTCGACGTTTTTGCCAAATGTGGGACGAATATCTGTTTCGAGACGGAGAGTACGATCGCAGGAGGTACGGTTGTATTAAAAACCCGCATTGCTGATCCGATATGTGTTTTTCACGATCTGTTATCTAGGCAAGGCGTTTGCCATCTATGCGTTCCGAAAGCTTTCCCAGGCAGCTGGTGAGCGCAATCCTGGTTTTGGGATCAAAATATTGTTGTAGCCTTCCATGCTGCCGGGAAAACATGGAAGGACTACAAATCATTGAAAACTTCCAATATGGATTGCAGCATGCTGCCAGGTAGGTGACGAAAGAAAGCGTGACGTTAGCCCATCCTGGCCTATTGAAGTGTTACCGGCGGACTTAATTGTATGGCAAAACCCTGGGGAAGAAGTGGCATGCTATAGTTCTCCTTATTGTCACGAGGAAGCAGTGAGGTCTACTTGTCGGAATTGTCGCAGTTGCCGCAGAATAACAAATATGCGTGGTAAGATTAAGTCCATGCTCTGGCGAGTCATAGCGATAGTAGTTGACAAAACAAACCTCCTGAAATTTGGCCCAGTCTGCTTTTCGCAGATTCTGACCGGGTATATCACAAGGAACTGCATCAGCAGCAACATCAAAAGTAGTATACAGTATAGTGGGAAAAGGTCACTGTCGTGAACATCTTCCCCAACAGTGCAATCAAAGGAAGTGCCCATTGAGGGAGGGTACAGTAACAAATCAACAACTGTTGCTGTGCCAGTGGGTATGTGGTTGTAAGTATTATATCCTTTGTTCAGCAAGACTTAATTATGTGCATCAAGAAAATCTTCGATCAAATGTCACCGGTGATCGACGGCCTGGGCGCCGTTACTCCACCCTGGGCTGTGACCGTCAAAATCGCCGAGGATGGGGAAAGGGTTGCGAAATAGAGTAACAAGTTGATGAAGTGATCGTAAGAGCTTCGTGTAGTCATAACTTGGTGGACTGTTTTAAAAGTATACGCTGATGGTGCGACCATGCAGCCGTACAAATATGCAATAGTCTTAAGAGGTGTGGTAAGAATGAGTGGCGCATATGTTAATTCGTGTCTGATGTACGACACCCCACCTTGGTGACGCCCACCACCTGTGGCGTCACAGCGAAATAACGAGCAATTTGGCACTTTTAAGTTGTATGAGTGAGAACGACGAAACCAAGCTTCCTGCAAACCGACTAATGATTGCAGCTAATACCATTAAAGGTGATTTTATTTTCGACCGTTTTGAAATAGGACCGCGACAATGTTATTGTAATAGAACAAATATTTATTGGTGAATGAACCATCCACACCGGATTCCCACCAGTTAGTGGAAATCGGCCAAACGAGACAGAACGGGGCCGGCCTATGACCGCCGTCACAGGGAGACGGGGGTATCCGACTTTCTCCACTTGTGCGTGTTGTAGCGAGTGTTGTGCGGGAGGGAGGGGTCGTTCGTGTGGCGGGCGGAGTGACCGGGCTGCCGCTTGTTCATAGCCGGAGGGCTAGGACGCCGCACGGCTTGAGGCGCACACTGACCATGTATAGCCGGAAAGCTGGAGCACAGGCCAGCCTGGGGATGAGAGCGCGCGGGCGCCTGGGCGTCCGAACGCCCAGCCAGGGGCGACTCGATGGTTCCGCGTGGTCGACTCCGTTGAGACAGAGGCGCGGGAGGCGGGGAATTTTCAGCGAAGGCAGCTGAGGAATAGAGTAAGTCTGTTCCGCATGTGGCCATCGTGCCTTTCCTGCCTGATGATATGTTTTGCTGGACTGCGGTGACATGCTGGATTCAACAGTACGCTGTGCCTCGGGATACGACACATCTGTCTTGTCCTTTTCGAAGCCTTTTTCCTTTTTTCCATGTGGGGCACTGAGAAGTCTTCCCGCTGTGATCGGCCCCCCACAGCTGAAACATCTGTGGCGTGAAGTGTGCAGGCAGACCACTCGTGGTGGTCTCGCCGCACTTGAGACATCTGGCACTCCGCTTGCAGTACTTGCTGCCATATCCAAAATGCCGGTATTTGGAACATCTGAGAGAATTCGGTATATGAAACACCTAAGCGGATTCGGAGGTAAGCAGCTGCTGACGTATCTGGAGGTCGGGTGGTAGCGAAAGTCGGAAAAAGTAGGCTTGTGTCCTGACGTTGGCTATCTTGATCATCAGAATTCTGAACCAGGGGCGGATCTAGCCTGGAGCTGTGGGGGGGGGGGGGGGGCAACCGTTCGTCGCCAGCTGGCTGGTGTGGGATCCGAGGTACAGTGCATGGTGCCTCTCGCGAGTACCTAGTAGGGACACCATTCAAAACCGAAAAAAGCACCGAAATGCTTTTGAATCTTACACAGAAGTTAAAACAAAACAGTTTAAACAGTTAGAGTTAAAACAGACGGTGAGTAGAAAACAACTTTTATAAAGTTCTGGGAATGTTTTTTTTGGGGGGGGCAAGACATACTCTCAGAGGTTTTGGGAGGCCATGGCCCCGTTGCCCCCGCCCCCCCCCCCCCCTGTCTGCCATCGAACATGGCAAACTGTCTGCCATCGAACATGACAAACATTTTCGTTCTGAGCTCCGCCAGGATCTCGTTCTCCGTCATGAAAC